AATAATTTGAGCATATGCCTGACATTGGCCATTGTGTTTCCCTTATTGTCATGTAGTGGGTTATGAGAAAGTTATTGAAAGCAGTTATTCACTCAAATTATTCTTGTTCTGATTATAGGTTTATGAAAAATCCTCTTATCACCTCATGAAATGCCTTTACAACGCGCCATACCATGTTTCATTTAATCCCTCAGAACTTCATTGTTAGTATTTGAGCTGTTAAATTCTCTGAAGTAATACATCATGGAATAAGATAAAAAATGGGTTTCTTTCACCAGAGCCAATGGAATGACTGATAGCGATACGGATACAAGGCGTAAATGGACTTTATACTAGTAAAGTAACATTAGTCTGAGCAACGGAGAATAACATTATATTCAATAGTTTAGTCAAAGTATCTCCCCGTTTATATTTGGATAACAAAGCTGATAAGTGATTGGCATTTGATGCATAAATCATTATTCTTTCAGTTTCACTTTTGTATTCGTATACCAGTCAAGACGATCTTTTATCACTTTGATAATAATAATAATAATCGCTTTATCCCCAAAAAGATGTATGGTACAGCATGCATTTCTTAACAAATTGACTCCCAGACTAAATGATGATTTCATATGAACGATAGTAATGGTAACAATATTCCAACACAATACTGGGGAACAGCCAGCTAGTTTTGGATTAGTGTCTGACCCATTATGAAGAATCAGCAGAAATATGAGCTTAAGTTTGATGGTGGTAGTGGCGGTGACTCATCCAGTCGGTACAAGGATCTACTACCCAAGCTAAGTATCCATGTTCAGTATCAAGACCCTTAATTAAGTGAACACTTCATGTAACAAAGATTATATTTAAGAATAAACATATAGATTTTCATTGTCGAATAAAAAATTTGAATATATATATATATCAGGAAAGTGTGCATCAAGGACTGATATGGGTTTGAGGGTCATTGAAAACCTGAAGGACCTGGCCAATTGCTTCATCGTGATATACATCTGCTTAACACTACACACTCAAAATACCAGGATACATTCAACGCACGATCGTTAACTTTGTTAGCAAGCGAGTTACCACTAGACGTAAGTTCAGTGGTATATATTTTTTCCTCTTTCTGTCAATTTACGATCGAGAGCAACCACTAACTAGTGTCTTGAGGTTGATAATGATCATAAACTGATATCAGTTGGAATAACAATGGAAACCTGAGAGGTGACAGTGGCAGGAAATATGCATCACCGGATTCCGATCCAGGAGCTCAAGGGTAACGGATTGGCAATAGAACTTGGAAGTTCTGAGTTCTATCCCCGAAGAGCGCGATCATGTTTACTTAATGCTGAAGGGCCCCATACTAGGGCGAAACAGCTGTCCAGGGCTCCCAGGTCTCAGTTGTTTCTCTAAATGGTGTCAGTCCATGATGAATACCAACGTAAACTTATGTCTATTCAGAACAAGAATAATTTCAGCTACCAATTGTTTTCAATAACTTCTTCAGGCTCTACAGTTATAAATCCATCAGAATAAGTGAAATACAATAGCCAGAATACGGCATAATATACAATTATTATTTATGTTGTAACAGTCAGTGTTATGAGTGATGTGAGATCAAATCGAATGGTATGATGGTTATCAGTTTAGTGTGTTAGTTGTTCAATGAAATCAGTATTAACTTAACAATTATGAAATGAGGAGACAATCTATAGATGATGATTCATTCATGTACATTTAGTGAGGCATGAATGTGTGTGTATTTGTTAAGGGTTAAATAATAATGACGTAGTGATGAGTTATATTCAGGTGGGATAATATGAATACCATAGCGAAATAGATAATAATCAATGTGGAGTGTTACGTCACTATTGAAAATGTCTACTGCTAATGGTATGAGTAAAGAATGGCATAAAACTAATAACATAAGAAAATGAAAGTGATGGCAATGTAGAAGAAAGGGATGGGAGGTGAAAATGTGTAATTTGTGGTGGGAAACTTCATAAAGAACGTGTCAACTCTGTTGTCAGCCAAGGTAAACAAAGTGGATGTACATATTTCCTTTGAACAAATAGGTCCAGTGTTCTTGAGTTGATCTCTATGACTTCAGCTACGGATAAGATGTGAAGTCGTGCAACATTAAGGAGATTGCAAGAGATACAATATGTCACTCATTCTCATGGATTTCTAACTGTAGAACCTGAATAAGAAGAAGTTATTGATAACAATTGTTCGTTGAAATTATTCTTGTTCTGAATAATTCATGAGGATGTTTTTACTGGAAAACGCTATTGTGTTGTCCATATAGTTAGTTAATCCATCTTCGGTGCTTAAAGAACCCAATAATAATAATTTCTATAAGAACAGACAATACGTGGTCAACTAGTTCACTAGTTACTAGCTGGTCCTAAGCCCGGATAAAGAGGTAAGTTTGGCCATAGGGCTAACAACCCTACACCGTAAAACCAATCTAACCGCTAAAGAAACTTCAAAGCACAAAGAAATTATCGAAAGTACAAACAAACTTATTCCTTGCTGGAATTGCAGAGACGAAATCATACCGGTTGGTGAAAGCCTTCTGGAAGCCGATTGGCCAATGTGTCTTCTGTCGATGAAGAAAGTGGAGTTGTTATATTGAATTGGGCATACACTAAGAAAACCGATTGGGGACATTATGCACTAGGCTAGGCTCTCGAGTTGGGTATCCGAGGTGAAGATGACATGGAGGAGATCATGTAAGGAAGAAATGAAAGCTTGTGGGCAGGGGTGGCGACAGATTGAAAAGACTGTAGAGAGGAGAGTGTAATAGCTATGTGCTGCTGAATTCGTATGTTCCACTAGGAACCCAAAGGAAAAATAAATAATCATAATAAATAATACGTGCTTCATTCAACAAATGAGTATGATAGTAGACGCTACATTTTATTACTTACAGATATCTTCTTCATCTTCATAGGTCAAGTAGTATGCAGATGAAGATAGATTAGATTCTGTTATATCGAATTGTTTTAGTTCATCAAGATTATGGCAAACAACAATATAGCTACATGTTGAACAATACAAGTATATTGTTGAATTAGTTGATTCTGTTGAATCATTGAATACATAATTTTTCTCAAAATTTCTTAGATAATTTTCATCAAAATTTGTATTATCTAATAAATTATCTTTCAATGATGATAAAATACTTGATAGTGTACTACAGTTAACTGACATACTGTCATCATCAATACTTTCCAACTTCATGTTATTCATTTTAAATTGTTCAGTTAAAATTGAACTATTATTATCAAGCCTATCAGTTGTTAGTGTCATTTGTGTACTTGTACATTTCATTTCACTTTTTTTCATATTATTATTCCATTTTCTTATTACAGGTAAGATATATACATCGAATTGTTCTTTCCAAAGGTTTTTCAGTCGTTTAAATATACATCTAAAATAAAATGTTGGTAAAAACTTATTCATTAGATCATAGTAGTTATGCTCATATCAAAAATGTTCAGTCGATATTATTTGAAGAAAGCGTAACAATTTTTGAATAAACACTTAAGAGTGTTCTATTTACATAAGTTGTATGAATATCTATGATTTGACAGGAAGCCTTCATTGCAGACATATATTTGTTTTGTTCTTTAATACTTATATTCTGCTGTTACTCTACAGTATCGAACTACTCGATCTTTGTGATGAAGGAGAATATTTAAAGCTCAGGAAGATGATTTTTTTGATGATGTTGTGTTCTCTGAGTGGAATGGTTTAACCATGAGACTTTCATTGTCATTTAAGACAACATTATGAGCATAAACTTGTTTTTGAAGTTGGATATGAAGACAGATACTCAGTGATGTCATTGAGTAAAGGTACTGCCTAATCACGAAATCACAGAAACAGGAAATAAAGCAGAGTACAAGAATCAAGCAACACTTGATACTCACTGGACAAGAGGTCACTCTGACGCCCCATTGACCTAGTGGATAACGCTTTGGTGTTCGAAATGGTGGGGATTGGGTTTGAGCCCCAGTGTAGAGAGAATCGTTCACTGAGTTGCAGGTATATCCAGCTGAAAAGTCACAAATACCCTGTCATTTCTACGATCACATGAAGGGTATGTTATTATCTACTCATAACTTCATTTACAATAGAGGACTACCTCTACCAGTGGTATGTTTTGTGATGGATTTCCCGAAGTTCTAATGAGAAGTGGTGGCTCGCGCGCTCTAGTAAATCAGATGTGAGGACAAAGACAAGCGGATGGAATTAAGTGACATTCGCACTATACCGCAAATTGGCAGATGTAGGAAAATGGTGACCATTGAACTCCTACACAGTGACTGACTGGCGACGTATTCGCCATCATAATTAACGGTTGTTCGTTGAATGGATGGTGGTGTTGTGGATGTTAGTTGGTGACGGATGCCATTAAGACTCGAAACAGCTATCGAATGCCTCCAGGTTTTCAACAGTTCTCCAACTGATGTCAGTCTATGATGAATACTTCCTTGAAGCTACTCAATGCTTACAAACCTGTAAAATTTGTTCCTGAACTATCCAAGATATGTTTCAACAAATGGGCTCCTTTTACGATATTTTAAAGCTAATGAATTTCGGCACCTAACTGATGTTAATAGTAACAGTATTATGAAGAATAAAATATTGTCAATAATCTCCTTCCGACTGTCATCTAGTCTGGAGATGCAATGATGTAGGTGTAAAGGGAGGACGCACAGCACAATACACGCCAGTTTTGTGATGGAGGTTCATTCCATTCCACATGATCAAAACGTACATCCACTTGATTTCATCTTCACTAACTGATTGAATATTGAAATAATTTGAGCATATGCCTGACATTGGCCATTGTGTTTCCCTTATTGTCATGTAGTGGGTTATGAGAAAGTTATTGAAAGCAGTTATTCACTCAAATTATTCTTAATATAAACAATCTAACATGAAGATATTTCACCAACTAACTGATCTGTTACTATTGAATATGGTTTTTATTTTTGTTTTAGAATCCAGAAAAATGTTCTTTATCATCTACTTCATCTCAAATAAAACTCAATGTTACTGTAGAAAAGTCCATGTTTCAGTCAGCTTTAGGTGGAATTGTATCATGCATTGGAGGTGCAGTTGGCACAGGGAATATTTGGCGATTTCCTCGTGTTTTAGCATCTAACAGTTATTCTGGTGGTTAGTATTTTTTATACTCTTGCTTGAAGTTCATCTTCCTTTTTGTTAACTCCATGTCTGTATGGTCACCCGATACTAGATATCTGTTTGTGTTGATATTGGTTCTATTAATTGGTTGTAGGCAATTGACAAGGAGTCCTGATTGATCGAGGTTTCTTGCTTGTAGGTAGTCATCAGTAAAGCGGATATGCAACCTTGAGAGAATCGATCTCTCATCTAAGATTTCAGCTCATGCCACCTAGTGTTGCTGTCAACGACCTTAGAGTTGGATTCGATACACTGACCGGTTCCTGGAAGGTAATAAATTTCCTTTTGTCTAGTCATCAGTACTGACAGAATTCTATCGAACATTTTGCAGTATGGTTATCAGTTCAAGACGCATGTTAGTTGGTTTGAGGCAATTGGCAGGAAGCCCTGATTGACCTGGATTTCATGAGTCTTGCCACTCGTCAGCATGAACGAAAAATCCACCATGATCTTGTGTCTCCTGGCTTGATGAATGGTCGATAGAAGATGAAATAAAATTGGGTACTCTCTGGTGACTGATCAGTACTGTGTGAAGACAGGTGTTCTATTTCTTTTTCGAACTCTTTGTACAAAATGAACTTCAAGTCATTTGAATAGTATTGGTAATCGAACCTTCTTGTGTATCAGATAAATGTTGTTCTCGAGATGAAAATCGTGATTTATGTGGATTAACTTCATCTCCTATACTTTTAGTATCTATCTCCTTTGAAAATTATGACCTCTGTGGACAGTATTTAAGTATTTTGTCTCATTTGTAAGAATGTTGAGGAAGTGATCAGCAACGTATTCGATCAATAGATTTAGTCTAAACATGTTTGTTAGCAATTCTGACCCAATGAGTGTGCACCTAGGAAAAGTTTTCAGTTTTCCTACTTGTTCGTCGAGTTTAAGACTAACAGAAGAAAGATTAAGTTGTGACTGATATAATCTGATTTGAAAGCCTCTGTTGAGTGTAAATGATGAGATTTCAACCTCGTTAGGTGGCTGTTATGCTGTCTGTAAGGTTAGGTTTACGTCGCTTCCAGTAAAAGGCGAATAGTGACTCATTTTTGTAGGAGTAAGAATATCTGTTTCGATTAATTCATCATCTTTCATATTAGAGTTCAATTCTAACTGTTTTCTGCTTGTTCTCGTCTCATTTCTATCCTTTGTTGTGCTTGGGATAGACGTATTCAAGTCTTTCAGTTATTCCCTATTAACTATCTGTTCCGAATAAACTATTCGAATTTTCAGGTTGATATTTATCATGAACTGGCATCAGTTGGAAGAACATTAGGAACTTTGGAGCATTGGACACCCGTTTCGTCCTGGGATGGGACTCATCAGCAGTGGGAACTAATGGCCTGGCCAAGGACTCACTATTTGGGATATTCTAGTTGCAATCGGGCATCATTTCACATCAGCTTTAGCATATTCCCTTCAGTTCCTAGTGATATTTGTCAAGCTTTTCAGTTGTTTATATGATGGCAATGTAAAATGATGATGATGCACTTCATTGTAAATACTTACAAGGATAGAGTAAATCTTCTAGTATATCAAGGAGTATCAAGGTATTCTCACAGTAGCGCATATGCCAATAGAGACTGATCAACTCGGTTTACTCAATGACGGGACAATACAAGCGACAACAATAGGATTATACGCGCCGCATTGGAAGTGTCGACTGTGAATCAGTGGTCTACTAGATAACTCTGTGGCATTTGAGGCGACCGGTCCTGAGTTCCAGTCCTGATGGGAATGACATCGCTCACTGGGAGATAGGCACACCCAGCTGATGAGTCACAAAAAGGACGAAACGCGTTTCCCAGATTCCACTGCTAACCATGACTATTCTAAATCATCTAAAATCGGGTAACTTTAACTAATTACTCAGAGGGACTTACCACCAGAGTTCAATAATCGCATTTCTGTTAATCTAAGAAGGATAAGGTTTTTTCTATCTTGAAGTTAGTTAAACTTCTTTGATATCTTATAATCTCACAGGTGCATTAACCTTCTATTTAATATGGATAACAATTTTATTCCTTTGGTCTATACCAATTTTGATTGTGGAATATTCACTTGGCAGATTTACAAGAAATTCTGTTCCAATAGCATTTTGTAAATTTTTCGGACCAAAATTCTTTTGGTTAGGAGGATGGATGGTTTCTGTTGTTTTCCTTCTGAGGTTAGTTCTTTTAAATTTTATGTAGAGAAGTTAAATTTAACTCATTGAATAAGTATGCTAATCCCTGTAATTTGTTTAATAAACACTGTTTGTAGATATGTAGAAATAGGGGATGAAAATCGTTACTGTTTTGCTTTGTTTCCTTCGATATTACATACCGATAAATTTTTAAAAATACAATACCAAAGATAGTTATTTCATATCTGTCCTATAACGGAACTACAACTAACATGATAGAGTTTTGACTGAGAACTAATGTAAAACAGAGGGTGCTGATTAGATGTTTCGTTTCAATGTAGGACTCATCAACAATGTGGGTCCATGCTCTGACAAGGCATCTAGTACCGGACCATTATACTTTGCAGTGAACACCTTACTTGTCAGTCACTGAGTTAGAATCCAATGATGAAAACCTCTTGAAATCATTCACTTATCACATAACCATCTAGGATGAATAATGTAGGTAGAAGTTGAAGGTTATCTGAGAAACGTGATGTGTTCGCACAATACATTTTGAACAGTCTGGTCAAGATATTTTGTATGAAGAATGAAAATAGCATGAGATAAAGAGAATAAATTAAGGTTATACAAGATGGAGAACACAGGGATAATAAGAAAGAATAATACTTTTTCACACTTCCATTGGCACTGAAATAAGATAAAAATTACCAAGGAAGGTTTGAGGTAACAATAAGTAGTTCTTTGATACGAAAAAGAGTGAACTTTCGTATACCTAAGGCTTCAAGGAGCCTAAGTATACGGTTTTGGTGACCTTTATATAATGATCTGAAGGCGGTTTTGAGCGTCAATTCCGTGATCTGTTTCTATGGTGTGTTTACCTATAGACGATGATATCTGTTTGCTCCCGGTATTTATCGTATTATTTCAATAGAATTGTTTTCCTAGCCATTTGAAGATACACTATACCAGCCTTGACTTCATAGTTCCATTACTCCTCCCAATGTATATGTCACAGCATAATACACATAAATTGTGACATAATCACCTATGTAGCCATTTTAAAGCATAATTTTCGCTTTTTCCATAGTGCTGAAGTTAGCAGTGTAGTATGTTTTTCAATAACTGAAATTCATCAATCGTTGTAAAAGTGTCTCATCAGCGTGAATTAATCAGTATTCTGTCTCCAAGAAGGATATTTCCATCATACTATCGAATTATGATGTTAAGATGGAGGCCTACCAACTGCATTCAACGAACTTACACACATTAAAAGTGCACCACTTCTTAGCTTGTCGACTACATTTCAAAATGGTTACTAGAATTCTTTCAGCACTAAGGGCTAACTGATTGCACTCCACTGATCAGTCACTGTTGATGATATTTCTGTGTATAAGCGAGACAAGTGGATCAGGTGAACGAAGAAGGCATTCTAAAATTTGTTTGGCAAGATGTAAGACTTTTCGCTCAGTATACTTTAAATAAAACCAATCTATAGTACATGTACTTGGAATTTCAACAAAAACAGCGTTTAAACGTCAGTATCCATAAAATATATATTTCATAATAGGTACGGTAAATGGACGGTTACGACTTTTTATCTTGATAGTTATTTGCTGAAAGAAGCACTATATATTGTTTCCGTTGATAAACATGGACGAATTCCTCGACCTTTGTTAGCTGATGGGTTTCTACGTACATACTTCAATACTGCAAGATATTTATGATGTTTGACTGGATGAAAGGTCTTTAAACTAACCAGTCTGTTTTGATAATCGACTACGTTTTGTATAACTAATGAATATTTTAGATACAATGATACTTTTTTCATTGGTTGATGAAAGGGGAAATTATCCATTTGTAGGAGGCAGGTGCATGCATCTTCTTAGTAAAAGATTCATAACTTGAGCAAAGATAAATAAATGAATATAAAAATTCACTTTTGATGTGATTTTGTTTGAAACATTGAAATTTTAAGGTTAAATCCAGGAAGTAAATCAAAAATGTATCTGTAGAATAACATGCATAAAGTTGTTAAATGATAAAAAAAATTTTTATAACATTTGAAAACCATTGGATCAAATACTCCTATTTCTAGAAGTAGTATTCATCATGGACTGACATTAGTTAGGGAATGATATTCCAATAAACTAAAATTATGATAAGTATGTACACGTGTTATTATGTAAAATTGTCATCTACCTTCTTCTTCATTATATACTGTGAAGATGGTATGTGATTGTCTGTGATATATCATTCTGGAGTATTGAAAAACTTCTACTGTTTAACTTGTAAACACATAGAATCGATTTGTCTAGAAGTCTCACTGAACGGATATGTTTTTGTAGAGTAAATCTACATTTTAGTATCAGACTTTTGTTAATAGTATGAGTCAATCTGGTGTGGAATGTTTTTCTATTCGAACTCATTCACTAGATATATCACACAATGGAACAGTATGATTTACTTCATCACGTTTCAATCACAATTTATATTGTCCATAGTCATGTCAGAGTAACTCCGAGATTTTGAAACATGTTCCCTATACCCTCAACTCTCTTACCTTCTTCATTTTATGCAAAAGGAATAATTTAGCACTTGTTCCAGACATATGAGAAGCTTTGAAACCGAGAATATAACAGAGAAGTGAGAATTAGAGCTACATAAACCATGCTTAGTTGACGTAAAGCTACTCTGATATAACTGTGGATAATAAATTGTGTCCTAATAGTTATGCAGTGATACATCGTTAATAATCAACTGACATATACAGTGTTAGGTTACACCCCGAGGTAATGTTTTGTGAATAGGTGAGAAGGTGAACATACATTCACATATTCACATTGAACTCATGAAACAACGAATGATAACATTTCTTCTCTTACTATCTTCATGTGTGAACATGATAAATAACTAAGTATTTGATTTTAGAAGTAGTATTCATCATGGACTGACATCAGTTGAGGAACCGTTGAATATCTGGAAGTACTGGACACCTGTTTCGTCCAACTAGTATGAGATTCCTCTGCAGTATGCACCCACGACTCGTCTACGGATAGAACTCAGCACCTTCAGGTTTCACGACGAACATGTCAACCATTCAGCCAGTGGGTCGGTTTCCAGTGCTTCACAACTCCCAACTTCTGTCAATTCACGATGATATAGTGTGACTATCACCCAAGGTCTTCAGTTAGCATCCACTTCACTTCCGACTGATTGACGCCATAGGTCATGGCTTCTCATTAGAGCTTCGTCATGCGGATGCGGATGTTGATGCAAACTGAAGACCTTGGGTGATAGTCGAGCTGTGTCATCGTGAATTGACAGAATTTGGTAGTTGTAAAGCACTGGAAACCGGTAGAGTGTCTGAGTGGTTAATGCGTTCGCCATGAGTCCTGAAGGTCCTGATTTGGATCTGTAGCCGGGTAGTTGGTGGGTACTGTTGAGGATTGACATGCTAGTACGAAACAGCTATCCAGTGCCCCAGATTTTCAATGGTTCCCCAGCAGATGACAGTCCATGATGAATACTACTTCTAAATTAAAAATCCCTATTTATCTCAAAAATGCATGCCTATTTCTCTCAAGTGATGGCATAGTCTTATCTTCATTCAGTGTCACTATTGAATATTTACCCTCAAATCAGACTTGGTCACAATTTTGTTTCTTTGAATTTCTCTAAATCTCATTTCGAGACAAGTTACCCATGAGTACTGAATAGTAATTTGGTTTGAACATTTGCTAGATGTTACTGACTTCAAGGTGTATTTCATCATGGACAGAAATAAGTCAGAAAACCACTGAAAACCCAAGAGTACAAAATATATGTTTCGTCGCAGCATTGAGCTCCTCAGCAGTGTGCATCAACGACGCCGTAACGTATAACTGTTGGCTGTATATTAGTGAATTTCTTCAAGATAAGTTTTTCTGAAGTCATAATGAGAAGTCGTGACCGGTGAAGTAAACCAAATAGGACATGAGGATAAATACTCAACTGTAATACTGAATAAAAGTAAGGCTGTATCACAAATTTACAGATTAAATTTTAACCAACCGGGTCAATGGTAACGTGTTCTCTGCGAAATCTGATGATCCTGGGTTCGAACTATGGAAGGCCTTGTGTGTATATATTGCTGAAGATTTTCTTTGTGGGGATAAACAGGTCCCAACGACAGCAAGCTATTTATAAGATGATGTTATTTACATTCCAGATTTTACTCACCGAAGATATCCCTATACACTGATTGTAACCTTGCCTACTTAACTTTTGTCACAGTGTACTCAAAGACATAAAGGTGATTTCCAAAAGTAATGACAAAGGAAGTTACAATGTCTGTTAAGTTTCATTTCTATCTCATTCTATTTCAATGGTGGTAATGAAGTGTCAGGCGGATTCTTCAGTTCCAGTTTAAATAACATAAAAACAATGACTGAAATGTCAAGGATGCTTGTTTCATAACGGAATGAAGTTCATTTAACTTGATGTTAGTCAAAAGATACTTTCCTCACTGAACCGTGAAACTGTAGTGCTAGTGATTTGCTTCTCTGTGGTTTACATCCCACCAAAACTAAGGTTTTCTATTATTCACATTTCATGAATAATGTGCGCATATAATACGTCCTAAGTAGAAGTCGTCTTGAAGAATGGAACTGTTATATTGGTCTTGGTGACTATCAGAGTAATCCAAGAAGTGCGTTTCGTGCTATTAGTTAGATATACCTGCACTCCAGCTGACGACTTAGTCCTGGATGGGACAAAACAAGCATCCAGAATTCCTCTGCTAGCCACCAAGATCAGTATGACATCATGAATTTCCAGCAGTATCGTGACATCCACATAGGTGCTCATCAGCAACCAGAGGTCGAGAGATTTTGCTTTATATAATAACAGGAAATTACAGGTGTCTGAACAAAATAATTCTTCTTTCACGATAAAGTACTGAGGCATTCTATTACTATTTCATTATTAGCACATTGATTATATTCCTGAAAGTCAACTTTCTGGTACTCACAACATGATACTTCCGTACGTTTAATTTCCACCACAACAATATATTGTTCACCTTTGACCCATTTAGGCAGTTTACACAATCTTTTCAAATTATTAGATGATCATAAAGTTACAATAGTGAACTGTAAAAAATATTCCTATTTCCTAACGCATTTCTAGTCACTTACCACAGCGAAAATGTTTTTTATACTGTAAATTTGAAAGATTATGATACAATATGTCGGCAAATACAACCATCAACCTTGCACTCAGTATGTGGAATAAGATCCGGATTTTCAACACCTATTCAGTCAAGTCAGTGTTTCTGTATGGCTCAGAGACTTGGCTCATTACGAAAGGCATTTCCAACAAACTACAGATATTCATCAACAACTGTGTACGCTGGCTCGTTACTGAAGATCAGATGACCAGAATAATAAGAATAAGCAACAAGGAAGTCACTCTGGCCGGCTGGCTGGTTGGCAACGAACCAACAAAGCAAGAATTTATCACTCAACAAATATACACGGGAAGGAAGTGGAGGTGGATTGGACTGAGCATACACTGAGAAGATCGACTGGGGACATAAAGTATCAATCCTTTGAGTGAAACCCAGATGGGAAATGATGAGTTGGGCATCCGAGGTGAGGGTGACATGGAGGAGATGGTGTGAGGAAGAAATGAGAGCTTGTGGGCTGTCGTGGAGCTATGTTCAAAAGTTTGCAGAGAAGAGAGTGGAATGGAGACGTGCTACTGGAGCCCTATGTTAGACTAGGAACCCAAGGAACAAATTATAATAATAGTTAATGCATGAAATTTGACTACATGTCAAGGTTTGATCAGACATGTTGACATTCCATGACTTGAATTTAAGGCTAGAATAGACTAATTTCATGCTTTATCAAAATTCCTTCGGTACTATTCCATAAATCGATAACAATGGTTTATTGTAATTTTGGCTAAAATTCTTCTCTAAACTAAATAGCAAACTTTTCTTAAAGATAACTATACATTAACCTGTGCTTTTTTCTTGCTAATACTAAGTGAATTCCATTGAAGTTAAGATTATTAAAGATGTATGTACAGTTATGCATATTTTATCAATGATTAGCAATTTTTTGTCGTAGCCAAGTCTATTCTCTTCTAGCTGACTAACAGATGTGAAGTTATATTGATAATGGTGACTAGCAGAGGAATTTAGGACGCGCGTTACGTCCTTTTTGGGACTTGTCAGCTGGATGTACCTGCTGTGGACTTATTTCATTATCGAACTATTAATTCCAGTCACATTTCTAAACGTTTCTCATCCCTAGTTTATTGAAGATGATTGCTTTTTGTTCCTTATATAATGCTCGTGAACGTTTTATCATCAATTGGGTCACCAACATCAAGATGTAGGGAAATATATTACCATCAAACAACGTGAGCAGTTTGAAACTACTCAAGTTGATCTGTAGATTTCGCCAGCCAACCAGATCACAGACTCAAACACCGCTTGTTTGTGGACGACCTTATCAGCAGTATACCTGGACAAATTCAATCCAGTAAATTGATCATCCTATTTTGGTTGTGCCGGCTCATACAAGCCAGGTAGCTGGATTTACATGATCTGAAGTGATTCGGCTCTAAGCTCTGAATGTTTTTCGGTACACATTGATCAACTTGACCCCAAATCAAAGAACTGTCTGTTCGATGATCAGATCACTTTGATCTGACTGATGAAATGTACTGATCAGCCCGAGCGGTTTCTAACTACTCAACATGTTCAGTAGTAATATATGTCACTACTTCATTTGACCTTTGTGACATAATTCACAGCGTATAATCTTGGCTGGGTAGTTTCTAATAAAAGTCCTTTTTATATTACCTGTGAAGGAGGCGATATTTAAGCAATTGAACATTACATCATCAAGAAGAATTTGTTAAATAGTTCAGCTAGTTACTATACAACTTCATTCAAAATTTTCTACTACAAATCTTTCAAATCAATGTGATGAATCCGACAATGAGTTTTTTCTTTCCATTTTAGCTGTTATTATCCTGTAGTACTTGGATGGTGTATCTATTATTTTTATATGTCTTGCTCACATTCTTCGTTACCAGAAACAGAAGAAGCTGGTCTATTAATTTTCAGCAATTTTGCAGAGGTACGTTGAACTGAATATCTAGCATATATACTTTAGCTATCCATAATAATAAATTGATATCACAGAGGAATGAGGATCTGTAAAAAGGTTGTTCATAGCCGAACTACACTTTGACTTTATTGTTTTCTCACAAATTACCAAGTAACACACAATTAAATACAAAGAACTGTCAGTGATCTAAGTTAAAATCTGCACAAGAAGTGAATCACACAGGTAAAAAGTGAAGGTACCAATTCAGAAGTTCAAAGGCCCCTCGTTCGAACTATGTCGTCACCTAGGTTTCTGTTACAACGCCATCCATCATCATATGTTAATCGAAAATAGATTGTTAACTTTTATCTAACGCTTATATTTTATAATACAGAAAGTAGTCATGAACTCCATTTTAGGTGCATCTGTGCAACATAATTTGGCTAAGTAGAAACAATGATATGATTTCGAATAAAATGCTAAAAGAAAGTAAAACAAACCTCTACACAGATTAAGTTGATTAAAACGAAGTTTCATCATATATATAACCGCCCACTGGACTTTTTACAAATAGTCGTTAAAGGTTATCAGTGGATTCCAAGATGCGCGTTCCCTCCTACTTCACACAATAATGAGTGATCCTGTTCCCACTCACACTCAAATCGGTCGACAATCACTTCAAAAACAAAAACCCCATTCACAAGAACATCAATTCACAAAAACATCATCACACCACCTCATGTACAAATACACACACATCAATTAGGTTCAATCATCTAGTCCAACATATCCAACGCATTCTTCAGATAAAATAGAGCAAAACTACTTCAACCAATAAAACAATACAATCAAAGTATGAAAAGGCAAAGAAGTAATCGCGAAGGAAACGTCTCCTCCCCACTACACCATTTAGTGAAGCTGTACAGTCACACACTAGAAACCATTGGAAGGAAAAGCATCTGTTGACTACCTCCTTCATATGCAACAGCATACACTCGTCATCCAAACAACCAGGTTTGTAGTCGCACTTTGGAACAATGTTCTCCTTGTTTGTTTATACAAGTGAGAAGTAATATGAAGAGTTCTATTCTTGCACACCTTGTCACCTTCCGATATCCCAACCCTCCTTACAGTTCAATCAAAGTAATTTACGGAGTGTGTGAATGCAATTTCAGACATCTTGTACTGTGCCATCTATACATCATCAAGTTATTGGAAATTTACAACCTCACACCTAACGTGTTCTGTTTGAAATCATTTGGTCGAGTCACAAGTGTTACAGTGATTAGAGTAGTAATTGACTTGTATCGTTAGGAATTTTGAATTGTGTTACTGAAAATTATGGTCATTGCATATGCCTACTGACCAATTATGGGCTGTTAGTTGTTTCTGAATACGATTGTACAACTTTGCTAAATAAAATCATCGTAAAAACATTTTGTTCACTGTTAAATTTTCCCTTATTTAATATGAAAGTTTAATATTTGTTCACCTGAAACGGAAGGAAGTACACACCAGTAAAGTTTTATATAAACCCAGATGGAAAGTATATCTTGGAAAGACTGCTTCACTACTTACCGCATTCCTTGAAGTCACCCAATATTGGAAAACATTAGTAATAGGTGTTAAATGTTAAATTTAGAGACATAGTTGTCGACTTATTAAACGTAAATAATTGACCATATGCATAAGTGCGACTATCTGTATGTTCAGTATAAGTGTTCTCAGATGATGGAGAATATTTGTAGCTCAGAGCTGGGTTGTTGACAAGTGAACATTTCGTTATGATTCTGACGACGTCAAATTCACAAGTGAATAGGATTTATGTAACAAACTTACATTTTTAAATGTTCTTATCACTAGAATGGATTAGGGGAAACTGGAAACCGAAGTAAAGAGAAAACCAACTGATACGGATCAAATCTTCAACTATAATAGCAGTATGCCAAAAGCACACGATATCAGCTGTATATTAACGTAGTTCAAAAGAGCAAAGACACACTGTAACACACCAACCTTGTGTAGAATAGAAAAAAACCATTCATTGGCTACTTTCCAGAGGAACGGCTATCTATACAACTTCATCAAAATGTGCCGACGTACATCGTCATCAACCAAGAAGTCGAACTCAAAAACAAACAAAAGGATTGCCCATACCCTACACTGAAGAATGTCTCCGAGATCACGACTATATTACTGAAGTCTTTTAGAATCACAATAGCTCAAAAGACTACAAAATCTCTTCCGTCTCTGTTATGCAAGCCAAAGATACATTGACAAAAAAGACAAAGCAAAGATTATCCTGAAAGTAAACTGTAGAGACTGAGAAAACAATACATTTGACAGAGTGGTTACCCTCTTTACATACGTTCAAATGGAGCGTCATGGCATATATTCACTCATGTCGATGCATGCGGACAACTGCGGACATTAGTTTGACTGGGAAAATGAGAAAATCCTGGATATAGGAAATACAAAGAGTGACAGAGAATTTCCGGAAGTTTAGTATTCAGGTCAATCAGCAGACATATTTACGATGACTAAATCTGTCAACTAATAAGGAACAACAAGAAAGTCAAAGATCATACCAGCAAGACAACCAATCAAAACCAATATGAAGACAATGACAAGACCTTGATAGAAACAACCAACCACACACGAGGTTACCACAACAAGCTAGTAAGCTACTTGTACAGAAAACCCCATAGCTCACTTCTTTGTGAAGTTTATGTTTATGATGTTATCTAGAATGATAACGAGGAATGCAATGCCATTAAAACAAACGTTTCCATTTGGTTTACCGAGTTGTCCACTTAACCTTCTGCAACTTACCCACGTTCTAATTTATTCAACTCATCATCGTTTAGTAAGAATATTGTTTTGACTGAAAGTGTAATAAAATTACGCATGATAATTGTTTGGTTTTCTCCGAACCTATTTTCCTGGAAGTTTCATTATCATTTATATCACGAAGTCTTCCTTATTCAGTAAACTGTGATGAAGTTGTAGGGATGCGTGTTACAATTCCGTAACGTTTGATCAACCCTACTTAATTTGATGTGCTCTAGTACCTGCTTAACCAGTACTTTACCTAACGTGTAAGTACTGATAACAAAACACAAATCAAAAGAACTGGTACGCAATGTATTTAAAGGTGCTATGTATTTAAGATAAATGTAATAATAATGAATGAGGGAAAAGTTTAATCAACTTATCTGGCTTGTAAGGCTGAACTAGGGACTCAGAGTACGTGCGTGGTAATCAGCACAATGGAGCGCAAAAATGGCGTCCAAGCCTGCTCGGATGCATGCTCGTTCAAACAAAACTTAAAACACCCTAAGCATCCGGAGGCAAGCTAGAGATTTATTTAATTAATTTAATTTAAACTATTTATTTTAGCCCTAGTTATATTTTGGTGCCAGGAAGGTGCACTACAGGTTATCCCCCTCCTAGAAGGTTGTTGGGATACCGGCAACCTTCGATCCTAGGAGGCGACTGCAAGGCGGACACGCAACACCTTTCCATATTGGTGATGGAGTAGGTGACGTGTGGGTCTCCGAAGCTAGTGCAACTATGCACACCTACGAGGTAAGATAACTTTGCGTCTAGACGCAACCCTTCTCGCAGTGGTGGAAGGTGACCCAAAGCCTCCGTCTACTTTTCCCTATTGCTTCTCAATCTACCGGGGGTGTACAGGGGGAAATTGGTACAAAGAGAACCGAAGAACGATCCAAGTAGCATCGTCAGCGGCCAATTGTATCTAATTTTCAACGCATTTTCTAGGTTCTGCAAGAAGAAAGAAATGGGACATTAGAGTGCTAAGAAAAGAAAAAAAACAAACAATTCGAAGTGGGAGGAGTACAGAAAAAAAATAATAACCAACCATATAATATAAACTTCATAGCTAAAAAAAAGCCAAGTAATTATCCGCCTTATCCTGAGCCACAAATTGTTTTTATTAATTATTCATCGCAATGAACTGATAATTCATATTTCTAACAATTTTTATTACTTTCAGGTTGGTATTCATCATGGACTGACACCACTTGGAGAAACATTGGAAATTTGAGAACACTGGACAGCTGTGACCATATGAAGGATTGAACCCATGACCTTCAGGTTCCACAGTCAGCTAAGAAGTCTCTTGCTAGGACAAAAGAGCTCTACAGTACTCCGAAGTTTTCAAAGTTTCTTCAACTTATGTTAGTCTATGGTCAATACGAACCTGGAATAAATAACTAAATTATCATAAACCTTCATAGTGAATCTTTATTTCTATTGAATGCAGCATTCCTATTGGCCAATATTCACTCAAATTCTGGCAGTTTGTCTAACTGGCATTTGTTTGGCTGGTGGAGTTAAATGGATTGAAAAAGCCAATATTATTCTGGTCCCATTACTACTCATCATTATATTATTTATGTTTGGTTGGTCACTTACTAGACAGTATGCTGAAATTGGTATAGCGTTTCTCTTCACACCATCATGGAGTAAGTTAATTTATCTGTTCACATTATTTTTTCTCTGAATATGTTGAATGGAAAAGGAAGACTATGATGTATGCTTTATAAGGTATCTATTATGCATTATTTTTGTTATTTTATCCCAAAACGCTGCACACATCCATATAAGAAGCTTGAAATCCCTGAAGCTGATGACAGCCAATTGTGTTGTTTCAATAAAAAGTATGTAAACATACTTGTAAATGTCAGATTAGTTGAAGAGGACAAAACTGTAGTAGGATATTCACCCCCTAGAAACGCCTAGAAGTAGTTAAGGACATTGTATCTATTGTGGAACTGAGCATTCTTCAAAACATTATTGTCCAAACATCCAGTCACACATACATAAGCATAGATACATGAATTTTTTTTCGGTCCATCCATCTTTATTTGCTGTTGATGGATAATAAACTTGGTAACTTAAATATTTTCAGCACCCTTTACCTAGTGGTTTTCACAATGTGTATTTTCGCTTGCTAACTGAGTCTCTCGATCTCTTGTGTTGATACAAAGAATCGTAGTGATACAGGGTACATTTGCTGACTACACTTATTCCACATAACAATAACTTTTGTTTCCCTGTTTGAGTAAAAAGACATTTTAAACGAAATATACACGGTAAACTGAGTGGTAAGTACTGCTTGGAATTTAGTATTAGGTTCAGTAATGTTTCAAAATGTTAAAATGATAACCAACCATCAAAAAAAGACGGTAAGAGAAACTCAATGCTCTCTCATATAATATTCATATGCTGTTACTCTGTTGCCATGTCTATTGTTCATATAAAATCCATTCAAATAATTCTTAATACACCTGTTAATAACTGATCTAACACAAGCTAAGTACATAGACTGAAACAAACTAATCGTCTAAAAATGGACTTATCTAAAACCGAGTAAATCCGCCTTCTAATTCAGTTAGCAAAAAAGAGTAGGTGAATCAAAACATTTTGTGAATCTCCGCTAAAAATGATATCCTGACTGGTGCTGAAACCTCTGTGGATAGACATTTACATTAAGATAATCGAATGTTATTGAAATATGGTTAAGTACACTTTAAAATGATAGACGAAACCACTGTAAATCTTCTATTTGAAGCATAGCAATCATAGTGTAGGATTCTTCAAGTGAAGAATTAGCAAAATTGACCGCATAATCTTTTAATAGCTAGGAGTAGAATCCAGGATAAACGTTTCCTCCTGCTTCACACTCATCAACTGGATCCATCTACACCCTAATGAGTTATCCTGTTCCCACTCACACTCAAATCGGTCAACAATCACTTCAAAAACTAAAACCCCATTCACAAGAACATCAATTCACAAAAACATCATCACACCACCTCATGTACAAATACACATACATCAATTACGTTCAATCATCTAGTCCAACATATCCAACGCATTCTTCAGACAAAATAGAGCAAAACTACTTCAACCAATAAAACAAGTACAATCAAAGAATGAAAAGGCAAAGAAGTAATCGCGGAGAAAACGTCTCCTCCCCACTACACCATTTAGTGAAGCTGTATAGTCACACACTAGAAACCATTGGAAGGAAGTGCATCTGTTGACTACCTCCTTCATGTGGAGCAGCATACACTCGTCATCCAAACAACCAGGTTTGTAGTCGCACTTTGGAACAATGTTCTCCTTGTTTATTTACACATGTGAGAAGTAATATGAAGAGTTCTATTCTTGCACACCTTGTCACCTTCCGATATCCCAACCCTCCTTACAGTTCAATCAAAGTAATTTACGGAGTGTGTGAATGCAATTTCAGACATCTTGTACTGTGCCATCTATACATCATCGAGTTATTGGAAATTTACAACCTCACACCTAACGTGTTCTGTTTGAAATCATTTGGTCGAGTCACAAGTGTTACAGTGATTAGAGTAGTAATTGACTTGTATCGTTAGGAATTTTGAATTGTGTTACTGAAAATTATGGTCATTGCAGATGCCTACTGACCGATTATCGACTGTTATTTGTTTTTGACTTGTGTCTACTGTCGCACAAACTCGAAGATCTACAGGTAAAAGCTAACAAGTCGACAGAAAACGCAGGGCAAGGAAGACGGGACTTTAAATGAATGTGGAGAAGACAGAGGTGATGACGATACCCAACCAACAGCAACAAGCTGCCATCACCATCAATGGGAGAGGCTGAAAAAAAGTAGCCTCTTTCACCTTCACCTACTTAGGCTACCGTGTTTCAACTACAGGTGACACAGGCACAAACGAGGACGTCAAAGCCACGATTGGAATACAACAAGCCAGGTGTTCATTAACCTGAAACCAATGTGGGGATCTTCGGCATTACACTCAGCACAACGAACAAGATCTGGATTTTCAACACCAATTCAGTCAAGTCAGTACTTCTATCTGTTCCAGAGACTTGGCGTGTTACGAAAAGCATTTCCAGCAAACTACAGATATTCCTTAACAACTATCTGCACTGGCTGGTTACTGAAGCTCAGATAACCAGAATAATAAGAATAAGCAACAAGGAAGTCACTCTGGCCGGCTGGCTGGTTGGCAACGAACCAACGAAACAAGAGTTTATCACTCAACAAATATACACGGGAAGGAGGTGGATTGGATTGGGCATACACTGAGATCGATTGGGGACATCATGCACCCAGTCAGTCACTCGAGTGGAACCCAGATAGGAAATGACGAGTTGGGCATCCGAGGTGAGGGTGACATGGAGGAGATGGTGTGAGGAAGAAATGAGAGCTTGTGGGCTGTCCTTGAGCCAGGCTGGAAAGATTGCAGAGAAGAGAGTGGAATGCAGACGTGCTACTTAAGCCTTATATTCCCCTAGGAACCCAAAGGATAAATAAAGATAAAAATCAAGTAATTGTTCTAGAATATGATAGTACAAGATTGTATCTGAAGTCACCAGTTTCAATAAAGTATTACGTTAACTGTTTTACTGATTATTATATTGATCACTATATGGTAGATATAAGGCACAATTTCTTAAATTTTAGGTAGTATTACAAGTCCTAGTTTATGGATTGCAGCTGCTGGTCAAAATGCTTTTGATACTGGTTCTGGAATGGCTATAATGGCTACTTATTCTACATTTATGTCAAGAGATTCAAGAATCGTATCCTACAGTTTCCTTATTCCTATAATTAACAACCTTGTCAGGTAAATTCTGAATTATGTTTCTTTTTCAATCTAAATCTTTTTATTACTAGCTAAATTGATAAGTAATTTCTCATGATATTTAGAAAGAGATTTAATTCAATCACAATTGTGTTGTCACCACCCGAAGACCACTAGTTTGGATTTTTTTCGGTAATCTAGGTTTTCATTTCACCTGTAATCATCACCCTGTATCAATACTGCCAGTCTTTAAAACAAGAAAATCGTATTCACAGTCTAGCAGCTTCAGAGATCTGTAGCGTAAACCAAATTGAATGTGAAGAAAAATACTCTGCGACGACATTTAATGAAGGTTAAGCCATATTGCGAATCGACGGATCACTCGTCAAGAGATCTTATTATCATTTACAGATTTCCTGATGCCTTTATCGATTCTCATTGATGAAGCAGCCATAGAGACCTCCGAGGTTATCTATGACTCTTCAAATAATACCATTCGGGGATAAATGACACCTTGAAATTTTAAAGACCCTTAGAGGGAAATAAAATCTAAGTTCTCCTTGGTATTTTGATTCAAACGTTATCAATAAAACCCCTGGACAATCTGAATTTATTCAAGGAAACTGCTGATGAGCCTATGACCGACTGTCGAAACTACTGTATGACATAAAGATAAGTGCAAAATCACTAGTGAATACTACTTGAATTTCTATTATGATTATCTGAGTGAGATAGCTGTGGTTACACAGATCGGTGTTGATACAGCATGATGACTGAGGGTGAAATGAAAACTTGTGTCACGGTGGAACTACAACCAGCGACCACCGGGTTTCTGGCCTAGTGCTGTACTAAATAAGCTGCGAGAGCCGACTGTTGGCCAGTCAGTAAAGTAAACGACTGAAAACAAGGTGGTCGCTGGTTCGAGTCCCATCAGCATCACGTATTTAATGAATTCATAAGTTTTATCGCTTCCAACTCTTCGTAGACGAGTGAAGCGAAGTGATCCACCACTACTGGCATCTAGATTGTTGTGTAGATGCTTCCACATCGTGAACAATATCATTCATCCAGATCCAGGTACACCCAGCTGACGAGTCTTAAACAGGACGAAACACAAGCAGTGAATTCAGCGGCTATTTACTATTTGTCATCAGTAATAAATGTATGAATGTTTCTCAGCATCTAATTTTATTCGTTAGAATAATTCTATCAGTCATACTCTTTGGTACTTTCACCTTTCTTTATTACTTCAGTAAATAGTTCTGTTAAATAATCGGCTGGGAAAATACAACCTTTAGGCAATGATCTTGTTACTTTCTGCGTAGTAATTAAGTAAATTCTGTGAAGTGGTTTAATGATTAGTTAACTTTGGTATTGTTTACATGTTTATAAGTTTATTGTTAGGTAAATAACATTTAAATCTTGTTATACAAACTATTTTACTCATACTCTTCAAAGTATTGCACTAAATGTGTTATACATGAACAGACTCATTTTAACCACAGAAGGGGAACACTGATTGGTCATTAGATAGCGATAACTTACATGTTGTCTATTCCTAAGTGTTGAGTCTGCCAATCATTTTGACGTGTATTCATCAAGCTAGAGAGCTCCCTATAACGACGCAATTTCGATGGGTAATTGGCGAGAAACTCGGCTGGGCCTAGGTTTCAGGCTTTTTAGTACTCGTGACCAAGGTGTTTCTCTAACCTTGGGGGAATCGATGTCCCCTACATCACTTAGTGTTGAATTCAACGATGTTACCATTAAGTTATTCAGTTGGTGATTGACTACCTATGGAACTGGATTAGACGCATTAATCCCTCACCGAAGAGTAACTAGTTTCATGATATCTAATAGTGAGTACCGATCGAATTCTATCAGTCATCAAGCAAGAAACCTTGTTCTACTTTTTCCCACCGATTGGGTCCAAATTAATAACATCCATCAACAAAGATTTATCTTATGGCAAGACACAAATCAGGAACTAAGCGTTAGATAAAACTTGATTTCTGTTTTCAATTAGAAGATGTATCAGTGAAGAGCTCACCTCTCTGACACAACAACAGGAATAAGGGTTAACACTGAGGCTTTCAGCTGGTCCTGATATAATAAAATTTGGTTTACTGCAACCACTAGACATTATTGCTTCAGGGTAAATATTTTACGAATTATGTTTTATAATATAGAGCTTTGTAGCTGTCTTGTATAAATGTTTTTCAACCTTAAACATGCTACTTGGTCGACCTATATATTTTCCGAGAGCTCTTTTTCATTAAGTTGGTTATTGCATATTGTTATAGTGTGTTATAGTGTGGCTTCAGGAAGTACAAATCATGTGCTGACCAAATTGCAACGCTTCGCATCATCATAGAACAGAGCATAGAATGGCAATCAGCTCTCTACCTCAACTTCATCGACTTTGAGAAGGCCTTTGACAGCGTCGACCGAGAAGTAATTTTGAAACTGCTTCACTACTACGGAGTACTACAAACCTTTATCCGCCTCATTCAACAACTATATGAAGATGCCACATTCCAAGTAATTCACAATGGGAAGCTCAGTGATGCTTTTGAAGTGAAGTGAAGACAGGAGTGAAACAAGGTTGCCTACTATCCCCCATGATATTCCTTATTGTGGTGGACTGGATCATGCAGCAAACAGTAGGCAGCGAGAAGAGGGGGATACACTGGACGACGGAAAAGAACCTAGAAGACTTGGATTTCGCCGATGACTTGTGCCTGATGTCACATAAACTTGAAGATCTACAGGCAAAAACTAACAAGTTGATAGAAGAGGCAGCGAGGACGGGACTTCAGGTGAATATAGAGAAGACACAGGTGATGAAGATACCTCACCACCAACAACAACAACAAACTCCAATCACCATGAACGGGAGAAACTTGAAGGAAGTAACCTCCTTCACCTATCTAGGAAGCACTGTTTCAACTACAGGCAGCACAGGCACACACGAGGATGTCAAAGTCAGAATCGGAAAAGCAAGACAGGCATTCATTAGCCTGAAACCAGTGTGGAGATCTTCTGCATTCAGCATGTGGAACAAGATACGGATTTTCAACACCAACGTCAAGTCAGTGCTTCTGTATGGTTGAGAGACTTGGCGCGTTACGAAAGTGATTTCCAATAAACTACAGACATTCATCAACAACTGCCTACACTGGCTCGATACTGAAGATCAGATAGATTGCCAGAAAGAATAAGCAACAAGGAACTCTGGGAACGAACCAACCAAGAACCTATCACTCAACAAATATGCAGGAGGAAGTGTAGATGGATTGGGCATGCACTGAGAAGGCCGACCGAGGACATCACGCGTCAGACCAGGTACTCGAGTGGAATCCCCATGGGAAGCGACGAGTTGGACGTCCGAGGTGAGGGTGACATGGAGGAGATGGTGTGAGGAGGAAATGAGAGGTTGTGGGCTGTCGTGGAACCAGGTTCAAAAGATTTCAGAGAACAGAGTGTAGTGGAGACGTGCTACTGAATCCCTATGTTCCACTAGGAACCCAAGGGACTAATAATAATATAATAATAATAATAATAATAATAATAATAATGGTGTACAGAAAGACTAACAGAATTTTCGTAAGAAGCCACATTTATCTGGAGTATTTTTCAACCAATCGGTTTGCTTCAAAATTCCAGGAGAAACCACATGAACTGACCATTTGATCCCAAACCAGTACTTAAATGGTAACGTGCTGGTGGCAGAACCTGAACTCTCTGGGTCCGACTCTTGATGGGATCATGGGTTCGCAATACTGAGGAATGTTATGTTGGGATGAAAAAGTTGTCAAGTGCTCCTAGGTTTACAATGTTCCTCCGGTTAATGTCACTCCATGATGAATACCAATTTGAAATCAATAAATCCCCACAAACTCCAAAATTTAAAACCACGTGATCATACGCGTAAAACTCTGATTGCTTAGTAGGATCCCTAGAAAAGTGTGGAACATTGCAACGCTGTCAATAAATGTATGTAAACCGTTCATTTTCGTCCATTTTGTCCAATAAACCTTTTATCTATACTGGGTGATGACTGAAAGTGAAACCAAAATTTGGATCCAGTATTAACACTAGGTTGCCAAACCACGGTTATCTCAGATAGTTAAAATGACAAACCTTTTATCTTTTCTGCCGCTTCTTTCTGTTTTCGAAGAACCGAGCGATCACCAAAGCTCAAGTCTAAGGTTATTGTTAAACAGTCCACTCTTATGTATCTTTATCTAATACACGGATTTAAAAGTGGAGAATTTCAATGTTTTATGTAACGCTATAACGAAAGAATGTAAGCAGCATCACTGAGGATTATTGAGACATTCAAGCGAATGCTGGATGATATCCAGGCAGAATCTATATCCGTAAGTTCTTAGATTTTCAAAAAGACTCTTGGCAAATACTTCAGTGATGGACGAAGTTATGCTGTAAATGAGTTCAAGAAGTCTGATAATATGAATCATGTTACGTCGATGAGTGAGAACGATATTAACCTCTCCACCACTATTATTATTATTATTTGTCCGTTTGGTTCCTAGTGGAACATGCGGCTTCACAAGCACATTGCCATTTCATTCTATTTTCTGAGGCATTTTGAACCTGACTCCACCACTGCTCACAAGCTTTCATTTCTTCCTCACATCATCTACTCCATGTCACCGTCGGACACTCAACTCCTCGTTTTCCATTTGAGTTCCACTGGACGGCGTGACAAGTGATGTTCCCGAATGGTCTTCTCAGTGTATGACCAGTCCATCTACACCGTTTACTTTTGCTTTCATCGAGAAAAGACACATCAGTCAGTTGGCTTCCCAGAAGGCTTTCATCAACTGGCGTCATTTCGTCTCTCCGATTCCATCGAGGAAAAGGTTTTTTTTTATTTTTATATTTTCTTTCTGCTTTGAAGTTTCCTTAGTCGTTAAATCGGTTTTACGTGGTAGGGTTGCTTATCCAACCTCTACCCGGTCTTAGCACCGGCTAGTAACTAGTGAATTAGTTAACTAGATGAGGTTAAAACCTTCCCAGTACCCGCCATGAAGTTGTAAATGATCCAGACACTTAGTCAGATTACGTTGATGAAAACTATAAGGTACTTGTCGAGAGTTTACAAAATGATGTAGCATGTTTAATGTCGTCAAACCTTTCTACAATCATACCTAACAATGAATATCCACAAGAACTTCCCAATGAGTACCAGCACAAGCTCGAATATCAGCGTTAACAATTAAACAGATACTCAAGTGGGTTCACTTCCCCTGTATATGCATCAGTTGAGATAGTTGCTTCGCATAATAGTGGATTACTTTTTTAAAGACAATTTACGTTCACTTGAGAAAATGGACACCAAGACTGCCTGTAAGCCAGCTCTGTTTCAGACATCACATACGCTAACAAGAAGGCAACTGGAAAACCCTGAGTCCACCCCAAATTCATAGGTTGCTCATACTGAATCAAGCAGTCAGAAGCAAATTAACGGGGAATTACACTATTCGGCTGACTACGGTGATTCATCACATAGCTGAGCAACTTATCATTCAGTCTAACTACATCTAGATTACTCTGACTCAAACTCGAAACAAGATCTCAGGCTAACAGCACTACCTGCTCAAAAAACCCAAAATGGATTTTGTTTATTAAGGTTGGAGAATGTATGTAACCATTTTACTGTTTAAAGTCCCGTATTAACACTTAAATCCACACAACCAGTTAGGATTCAGTACGATGCAGTATTGGTATTCTACATTCAAAACTATAGGGAAGGAGAGGGAAAAGTTCATCAAATACCCTTCTTTAAAGTGTCAGTAAATTATCCCCCTCATTTCCAACTACAACTCAGTTACTTCATATTACGCTGCAGTACAGATAAGACAGGAGAGTATTCAGTAATAATTTTTCACGAGCCAGCAAAACGTTACTAGTCAATCAAAATACATCATTGCCCCATCGATGACTATTTTAAGGAGATTTTATTGTGTGCGGAAAAATCGACAAAATTTCTATAGGCAGCCACACATGTCCGAAGCCTCTTACAACGAATCGCTTTGCTTCGAAGTTTCTGTAAAAGGTACGTGAACTAACGTGTAAGTATCCAGTTGATTGAAGAGACGAAAATCTAGTAGACCTGGAAATGGTCAAGACCATTGTAATATATAAAAAGCTTGTAATTTTTCAAAATTCTCAACGTTCTCGTTAACGCTGTAATTACACTTTCTGTTCTATTACCGCTTTCTTTGATTACAGAGGAACTGAACAACCATTAAGGGTGAAAGCTGAATGTATTTTTACACGCATCCACATTTATACAATTCAGGCTTTAACAAGGCACTGCAAAAGATATAAAACGTGGCGACTGCAGTATATAAAGCATATACACATCAGTTAGCTCCGTCTCATCAGCCTGATTATTAAGCGAATCTTACTGCCTAATTACGTCGTCTTTTCTATAGACGATTGTTCAACAAGAGAAAATCCAATTTAATTCTATGTATTCTGATCATTTCGTGTCGTAGACTTGTTACTTGTATGAATTCTGCTTTTATTCCAGCCTATATGCATCTATAACCCTATTCTCTACTGTATTTTCAACAATAATACAAACAAATCCTACAACTACTCGTTCAGCGATTGTGAGAATCATGAAAACTGCTGGCCCTGGAAGTACAGGACTTACATTCACATGGTAAATTGACTTACTTCATACAAACTGTCAAATAATCATATGATAATCTATTCATTTCTGTGGTGATTATATTATTCATTTTATTTCTTTATAAAACTCTAGCAAACCAAATATATAGACTGTCTTGAAGATATTTTACCATTCCAATATATTACTGGATAACTTCAGTAGTTAGAAACAACTCAGAGTTGTTTGTAGATTTTGACAGGTAACCATTTCAAAATAATGTGAACGCTGGAGGGCTGATTTGCTTTTTTGGGGATGAGCTCCTCAGCCATGTACCCAGAGAAATATATCTCATCAAAGCAAACTATTCAGATTAACTAAATCTGGCTTGCTGACATCTGTGGAGCGATATATTTAAAATAGGCAGACAGACAGACAGAAAAGATTAACATAGAACCTCGCATACAAGTGCCACGCATCACAACACTAAACAAAAACAAATGGATAGGAAAAGACTCATGCGAAAGTAGACGAAGGTCTATGAGAGAATAAAAGATCTGAAGATAAAGGTTGGTAGAAATATTCAAGCTGCAGGAGACATCAAAGAATAAATACATCTTCACTATTGTGACCGATTTTTAGCCATATCACCCCATCCAGTCAGTCTATATCTCCCATACGTCTCAAAGCAGCAGTCAGAGACTTCATGCACTGGTATCAAGTCTTGGTATGGCCACGCTGAACGTTCTTCCAACTTAATCCAGCTCCTCCTACCATTGCACGTCGAGGTAGATAGTGGCTGCCCATGTGCATTACATATCCAAGCCATTTCAGCTGATGAAGTTTCATAACCTTATCAATCACCTTTTCTGTTTCGTCTAGTATACCTCCCTTGACATCAAAATTGCTCACATGATGATTTCATCACTTAAAATAGGATAATCAGTTTGTAAATGGTTGACAAATTGTACGGTCCATTTTGATATTTCTCACAACTGAATAGTTTCTCAACCTCCCAACTATGGCTTCATCAGGTTCTCATTGAAAACCACCGATCAGCGAAGAATACAAGGTGTGTTCTAAGGCATAAAGGACCTTAGCTTAAGGATGGTTCTTAATGGTAACCTTGTTGACGTCACAGGTGGGTGACGGTTGAAAGACTTCTCATCTTTGACAAATGTCAACGTAGACCGAGTTATCCGTAAATCATTTTCAGGATGGAAAGTTATATGTAACAGTCACTAAAAGTTCAACAGTTTAGTATGGAGACTGAGACCAAATTTTTCAGTTAGTAACCGAGGTCTTGAGTGTAGGCGGCTTTAAAGGCTACCCTAGTAACTGATGAGATAGCCAACTACATTCATAAAAATAATTTTGCAGGCGAAATGTAAAAGTCTGACTGATGATTTTAGCAGTTCCTAGGGTGTCCTTTAAAGTCATTTCTCAAAGGTCATGACGCCTCACTGCTGGCTAATGTTCATGTAGACCAAAAGATAAAATAAAAAAGGTAGGCAAACGAAAGATTATCCACAAAGTAATCTGCAGAAATGGGGAATAACACTACATCTGACAGAGGATTTGCCTTCTTCGTGTCCATTCACATAAAAATCAACCAGTACTGAGGTGTTATAATATATATCAACTCCTACCAGTGCCAACATGAATTTGACTGAGAAAATGTGAAAATCCTGGATACAGAAAATACAAAGAGTAATAGAGAATTTTCAGAAGCTTGATATTCAGATTAGTCAACATTGACCACATCTATCAATCAAAAAGAAACAACAAGAAGGTCAAAGATCATGTCAGAAGGACAACCAATCAAAATAAATATGAAGACAATGACAAGACCTTGGCGGAAACGACCAATCACAGGCAAGGTCATCATGATAAGCTAGTAAGCTGATGATGTTATCTAGAATGACAATAAAGGCTTCACGATTAATTCATTCAGCTCAGAGAGTACAACACCATCAAAATCATTCTACTGACCTGCAATTATTCTTCATCGTCCCAAAATCATTAATCTAAACAACAGAATCCAGCAAAATAGACAATTTGTGTGGTATAACGGATTACTCAGTTACAACATGAAAAAATAATCTTAAAGTATAAGAAACGACTATAAACAATACGCATATGCATTCTTTATCGCCTAATCGATGTTATTAACAAATTCACAATTTGTCTTCTCTTCTAGGATTCCTGTATTATTCTCTAAATTCGGTGTTTTGGGAAGAATTTTATGTGCCTTATTCTTCTTGTGTCTTGTATTTGCTGGACTAAGTTCTTTACTGTCCATAACTCAAGTTGGCGTACTTGCTATGAAAGAATTGAATGGTGAGTTGAATGTCTGCTATAAAAACTCAATCAGTTATGCTTGTTATTAGGCTGAATGTTTCTCATAAATTTAGGTCTTACTTTACTGATAGACAGAATAAGAAAATTTAGAAGGATCTCTTTAATCACCTGTTAAATAGAAGTGAGAGAAATTGATTGCAAGAATCAAATATTTTTAAGCTACTGGTTAGTTATGAATCTTAGTACACTTTAGATTACTGTTGACTGTTGATTTCAAGGTATAACATATCATGGACTGATATCATTTAGGGAAACATTGAAAATCTGGTAACACTGGACAGCTATTTCGTCTTAGTCCCTGACTTTTCAGCAAGTGGCATCCTCAACCATGCCAGTGATTAGAAAGTTCAAATATCAGTTAGTCAGAGTTCAGAATGCGCGTTTCGTCCTTTTTGGGACTCGTCAGCTGGATTTAGCCGCACTCCAGGAAGTTATGTTGCTTCTACTTAGGCTCAAAGCCAGACAGTCATTCACTAAGTCACTGGGGTATGGTAGCCACCTACTGCGAAACGAGTATCAATTGTTGTTATGAGACTTGTAATTTCCCGTTGCTATTCCGGGGGGCGAATTTCTCGGCCTCTGTTGTCAAATGAGCTCCTATGCGAATGCCTCAGGAAATTACAGGTATGATAACAACAACTGATACCCGTTATACAAGAGGTGGATATCGTGCCTCAATTAATTAGTGAATAACGCTCAGACGTCCTGGATTCCTTGCTAGTCCCCAAGATCAAAGTAACATCATGAACACCTGGACGTATCGAGGCATCCACATATCAGCCCATCTACCAAAAGACGTCAAGCAGTTCAACCCCGTATAACAAGGATAAATTAGAAATATCATAACAGCAGAGTAGTGGTTGTTTAAAGGAAAATCAACAAAAGTGACATGTAAAGCAATCTAGTAAAGGTGCTATACTTTCTATGTTATATAGTAAAATAAATGAATAATTTGTTCATCAGCTTTCTTATTCCGCGTAATTAGATGATAGAACCATTATATACGATAATTAACAACATCGACTTCATTTGCTTAAATGCTTCAATAAAACTGACAAGAAAAGTGATTTCAAAACTAAACCTGAATTTTGGTAGCATTCGATGTTGAAAAGATGATACGCTGAAAAAATCAATTTACAGAAAGGTTACATGTAGTGTCGTCCATCGGAATCTCATAAGCTTCTGTTCAGTTAGATATTTACCTTCACTATTTAAAGTAGCGTTCAACGGGGGCGGGGAAATACGTTCATCTAGTATTTTGGATTATGAACTGTTGATAACTTAAAAATTTCTAAATCAGATTGGTTGCTCAGAAAGATTTATCAACTGATATGGGAGAGATGAATACAAACAAATCGAAGAAAATCATAGTTCTTAGAAGCCAGTCTTAATTCAGCTTGATTTCAAGGGTGATGATACTGAAAAAGGAGTGAATAGAAGGTTTTTAAATACACTAGACTTAATGTATCCTGAAACTAGATTATTCTTCATGTTTTGAACAGCTCTGTCACTATTCCAGACAAAAGTTGATAGGTATCTTTCTTGTGTGGACTTCAATCGCGTGTAGCAATTCATCTATACCTGCCAAAGAAAAAAACCCAAAAAGACACAAAGAAGAACTCACCTAAAATCATTTGAAATTGTTTTGAAAAGACAAAGATAATCTAGACACTTGGTGGATGCCTTAAAGTTTTCTAAAATAACTGAACAAGAGGAATAATCCTAATCGTCTTAATTTCCCTGAGGCTATCAAAATGAAAAAGCTGAAATCAGATCTATGCATCCCAAAATAAGTATTTGTAGACCTATCACTACCTGAAAACTCACTCAAAAACCCTACTGATACTTGATTATATCATCTCTTGTTCTCTTCATCATGACCAGTAAACTTTTACTTCACACTAACTTTATCCTATTGAGATCAACTCACCGTGATTTGTTTTCGAAGCTTAACTTCACATATAACCAAGCAAATCTTTAGGGTATCACAATATACAAGGTGTCAGTTTATCAGACAGGAGCTACAAAGAAGCAGTATAATATCTATGCGTACGTCAATCAGTTAGTATTTAGGTATTCAAGCATTAAACGCCTTGCGACTACTGGATTTCGTAAGAGATTTGATAAGGTTTTCTTGCAGTTAATCCCTTCTACTGACATAATTTCAACGGCTTTTTTAACTATGAACCTACCATAAAATTACTGTGTGTATGATTTCTCTACTCATACATAAATCAGCTATTCACAGTTCGCATATAATCGTATATAAATCAATGTTCAATGATCTGAAAACTCAAGAACTTAAAATTGTATAGACCCGGTATACTTTAAGTTCAGAGTGAATATCCACAACCTGTGCTACATATATTTGCTACAATTTATAGTTGAAAGTTTCCCGAAAATCTTATCTGGCTTGTTGAACAACATAAGGTGTGTAGTACTTACTGTCTATCAATGCTATAGAATTCCTAATTCATTACCTGAATGTGATGTCTAATGAAATTTCATGGAATCCGCTCAATATTTATAGTACAATCTATTTCATTTCATACTGACAATACTTGTCTGGTAAGTTTCTCCATGTTTCTGTATATTTTGAGGGCTTTCCTTATTCCACATGAAGTAACCTTTGCATTTGAAGCATACTATATTGGGGCCTTACTTTACTTCACTGTGGAAGTTATTCTATTAGCTAGATAGTAATCAACGAAACAGGTGACCCAGATTTCATGTTAAACCCTTTTGATATACTCTTTCATTAGACCATTAATTTTGTTTTGAAAAACCTACTTATCATTAAACGATAAATGTATCAACTAGTTAAAACGGTTACTAATACAGTAACTGTATTACTAGTAAGTTAAAATTATCTCCTTGCTTAAGTAAATTCAACGTTAACTACCACATCTCGTGGCATGCTTGAATCTTGGGCTACCAAAACTTTTCACTGAACACATAAATCAAATCCTTTGCCTTCAGTTTATTTTCTGATCATCTAATGATATCTTCTAAGCGTGACAATATACTCTTGTAAGATTTTTAAATATATTCAGCTAACTGTTTCTTCAGTAGATAACAAAACGAAGAAAATGTATCGAATTCGATGGAAATGGATTTTTCGTTGTCAAAATTTGTTACATTTCCACTTCTTGGACTCTTAGCTCCGACAACAGATTCCTGTGTTAGCTGAATGAACTGTTACCACCTAACTTAGATTCGATTTTTTATGTACATCCTCCATTGTAGGACGTAAGTTAATCCAACAGTAGCTAACTGTCCAACATTATTGGCCTTATTAGTACTATTAGTCATGTCATTTGGATGGAATAAACATTTCGTTTGAATATATTGTACTGGTAGTGAACTTGCTGAGAACTCGATACTGTATAAAACATTGATTGGAACAAAGAGATCATTACTATTATTATCAAGGTTAATTAACAAAGCAATCTGATTTATTTTGCAGTTCCTCATCGGTTAGCTGTTGCAATTGCTTTGATTGCTTCAGCACTCATTGGTCTGCCGTCAGCAATTTATCTTGATTTTCTTACAAATCAGGTTAGTACATTTAGTTGAAAAGTTTTCCGAATAATATGTAAGTTTTCCATTAAAAACTCCAATTCTGCTTATAATATCTTTCCCCTTTATTTAAGGATAACACATGGGGCTATGGACTTGTTATATCTGGGTTCTTATTCTGCCTACTAGTTATCATCTATGGACCAAATCGTTATCGACACGTCCTGATTAATGACTTTGGTATAAATGACTGTAATGTATCAATATTCTGGGTTCCTTTGATTGCGTAAGTTGTTATTCTTAAAGTGAAGACCATTTTTACTATGGTAGTGATATATTATATCATCATTTGATTATCTGAGTTACGCGTAGTTTGGTAGCCTAGTATTTATACTGGGTGGTGATTGAAGGTGAAAAGAAAAATCTGAACCGCTGCCTTATTCGAGCCAGTGATCGCCGGGTTTCTGGCCTGATGCTCTACCAACTGAGCAACGTCGTCCGACTCTTGACCATATTTTTATTTCGCTCTGATCACCAGGATATATTGTATTACTGATATCAAGTGTAACATCTAAATCTCTAAGATAATTGACATTTGCTAACTTGCGTGATCTCTGGCGCCAACTGGTGAGATATACAAGTACCCATACTACGCAGAAATCCGTTCTTTCCTGTTATACAGCTATGAGATATAAATGCTGAAGGTAGACGATATGAGGCAGTTACATGGTTCTGATTACGACTGTCTTTGCAGCATTATTCACGTTCGATGGAACCACTGTGAGCAGAGTTGAGGTCAGTCGAATGGTACTAAGCAAGGTAGACAAGTCGGTTGATAAGGTTATGATCATTAGTTGACCGAAATAGCCTAGACATGTGTTGTACATGCTGAGTCACTCCCTACGTCAACATGCCATGCTAGAAAAATCCGAATTAGGCTGGAAAACCACCAAGAGTAGCCGAGTGGGGAGATGTAGGCTACCTGGTCGGGATCCCAAAACGATAGGAGTCAGTGTCTGAGGACTCTTTGTGATATGGCTAAAAATTTATCACAGTAGCGCAGATATATTCTCTCTTTGACGTCATCTCAAGCCTGAATACTACCATCAACACTTATCTTCAAATGCTTTGTTTGTTCTCTCATACACCTTCGTCTACTTTTCTCTGGGTCTTTTTCGATCCACTTGTTCTTTACATGCTGTTGTTAGGCGTGACTACTTGAACGGATAAACTTGTGTTCAAGATTTTGGGCTGATTTCTCTCTGTTTATCAATCTTTTTCGCTAATTCTAGAAATCTTGAGAAGTTGAAGTACAGACTTTTCAAGTAATTTGTATTGATCTCTCATCTTCATATCTTGCAATTTACTCAAATAAATAATTTATTAACTGGATTTCTAAGGAATTAGTTAAGAAAATTATGACTGAACTTAATTCATCTAATATGCTCACCTGATGGACCTAGGGATGTATGCTTTATACAAGTTGTGGACATCAGTTTCACTTTTCTAATAACAAACTTTGATGATGTCAACACAATCATTTTAGTAATTCACTGAGGTAAAGAGAAGTAGATGAGTACAAAGATGTGTACTGAAATGTAAATCAATAGTTTGTAAGTGATTTTCATCTCAGACGTGTTTATCAGCTCATCAGAAATCTTGAATCCAGTTAGAAGAATTGCGATTGGCTTTTGCAAACTTACCCATGTGTAGCCCCGCCATGATGCCAACTATCTACTAAGGGTTGAGTGTACTGTACTGCAATCCGCTTTGTTCTACTGTATGGCTGTAAAAAATGGGTATTAGAGGTAGGAGACATGAGAAGGGTTCACGTGTTCGACTGCCACTGCGTTCATAGTATAGGCCGTGCTTCGTGGTGTCACCACTTGAGTACCGCAGGAGTCAGAAATGCAGTTTTAGACTGGAGAGATAAGACAGTTGATGCGGTTGTAAACCTCCATTAACTGAGATGGCTGGGACATCTGTTATGTATGCTTAACCACTGTCTGCCTCGTAATACAATGTTGACTGAAGTAGGTTCAGGCTGGAAAAAGGCTAAGGGAGACCAGACTAAAACATAGCATCAATGCATGAAGTCCTTGACTGTTCGTTTGTGTCATGTGGGGTGATGTAGATTGGTCGGTTGGGGTGTGCGGGACAACAGAAACCAGTGGTTGGAGACTGTAGGTGATATGGCTCAGAACCGACGTCACTGGCCCAGATGGATACACATATTATCCTCATCTTAAGGTCATTCCTAATCTCAATATATTTTCATTCTTTCTTCCTGTCTCTAATTACTTTCTACTCCTACTTCCTTCGAGCGATTTTTATTTCTTTCTTCATCTTTTATTTCATTACCGTGTTGCTTGAGATGCTGACATGATTTGTTACAACCTGGACGGTTAGGCAGTAATCCCTGATCCTATATTGATATTGATGATCATAGGGATTTATTTATTTCAAGACGATATTCTCCATGGGTTCGATATTTTGTGGTGTCATGAGTGTTCACTATAGAATGAATTTAAAACCTTTGGTTGTGTACATTTACTTGATGTGGTTGCTGATCAGATATTGTCAACCATTTCCTTTTAAAAGGTTTTGATCAAGGATATTTTAAAACTTAAAGGAAGTAACCTCCTTCACCTATCTAGGAAGCACTGTTTCAACTACAGGCAGCACAGGCACAGACGAGGATGTCAAAGTCAGAATCGGGAAAGCAAGACAGGCGTTCATTAGACTGAAAACAGTGTGGAGATCTTCTGCACTCAGCACACGGAACGAGTTCCGGATTTTCAACACCAACGTCAAGTCAATGCTTCTCTATGGTTCATAGACTTGGCGCGTCACGAAATGGATTTCCAATAAACTACAGACATTCATCAACAACTGCCTACACTGGCTCGCTACTGAAGATCAGATGGATTGCGAGAAAGAATAAGCAACAAGGAACTCTGGCTGGTGACGAACCAACCAAGAACCTATCACGCATCAAATATGCAGGAGGAAGTGGAGATGGATTGGGCATACACTGAGAAGACCGACTGAGGACATCAGGCGTCAGGCCAGGCCCTCGAGTGGAATCCCCAGGGGAAGCGACGAGTTGGACGTCCGAGGTGAGGGTGACATGGAGGAGGTCGTGCGGGGAGGAAATGAGAGGTTGTTGGCTGTCGTGGAGCCAGGTTCAAAAGATCTCAGAGAACAGAGTGTAGTGGAGACGTGCTACTGAAGCCTATGTTCCACTAGGAACCCAAAGGACTAGTAATAATAATCAAGGATATTTTACGAAACAAAATAATTTACTTTGGTTAACCATTCTCTTATTGTTTCAATCCTTACAAAGATATTGCTGATGCAGGCTGATCAAACCTAATGAATCAGTGTATGATTTCCCAAGTATCACATTTACATTTAAACCTTCAATATTAATACAGTTGATTACAATCCATGAATATTTCTGTTGTTGACATATGCATGTTTATTGAATTTTTGTTTTACTGGATGATGATTCCAAGGTGGAATGAAAATATGGCCCTTGGTATCTTTCTAATCAGTGGCCTCACGGTTACTGACCTAGTTCTCTACCAATTAAGCTATGAAGCCCAGCTCTGAACCAGATCACTATGTTACCTCAATCACCAAAGTTTTTGCCTGACTGCCATGTGAATTCAGCATGCATTACTATCTGTTAACCAAACCTAGATTTCTCATCCCCATACAAATCAAGCAATTCTCAGTTTGGTTAGCTGAAATAGTCATGATTTGACAGACTCGTATTATACTAGTATTAGACCTAGTATCCAAAGAAATGGAATGGAAATGTATTGAGTAACCATAAGCAGTGTTCAGTAGGGAGTGAGCCACACCTATTGTGTGAGGTCTAATTTAATACCTGGCCGCCCAGACTTCGGCAGGTCGTGCTGAGTTTGAATTCGAGACCACCGAAAATCTAGAGTCTACAACAATGAGGGACAGCTTTGCAGTGTGTAATACCAGTTTGTATTTCAACTTGCGTAGATTTCAACAGCTTTGATCCAAATGTTTAAGGAGACGAAAAGGTGCTGTCAATTTACCGCCACTTTTATTGATTGGTGCTTCTGATTTTCAATAAACCTTTCTGGTCGACTGTTATATGACTCAATTAAATTCTTTTAGATTTTTAGTGCCTTTACAATCGCTTGCAATGTTAGTCTGGTGGATATATGAATGCATCACTACAGATCCTAAATGGTTCCACTTAACCTGGAACTCTTTGGCAACAACATTGTTAGAAGTATGTTGAAACAATAATTGTTCTTTTTTCTGTACATGGTACTATATGTTTTCAATACTTCTGTATAGCTCTACACACACTTATGAAAGCTTTCTTTTAAATATATATAAATATATTTATAGTAGTCATCACAGACTGAAATAAACTGGGGAACCATTGAAACTTGAGGGCACTAGACAGCTGTTTCATCCTAGTATGTGACTCTTCAGCAGTGTGTGCCCGAAATCCTTCCAAGGATAAACTCAAGAACTTTCAGGTCATATAGCGAACATGTCACCCATTCAATAACTGGGTCGGAGTACCCAACTTCTATCAACGAAACTGTCCTGAGTTTGATCCTCAGTGGATTAGCAGATGCACACTGCCAGGGGGCCTCATAACAAGGCGAAACAGCTATTCGATGCTTCCAAGTACTTAATGGTTTTTCAACTGATGTAAGTCTATAAAAAATATACATACATTTAGATAGTAATAAAACAATTTGAAAGTTATCTTAAAGCAAAAATGAGTTTGGTTACATTACTATCTTAGCCAATAGCATTCGGCGGAGATTGTTGTCTGCCTTCTTACTGACAACAAATATAGCTTTACTGAATGAAACTAAGTTTCACAAGCACAAAATGATGCCTTGAAACACAACTACACTGTCTCATGAATGCTATAAATTTTTAGGTAGACAGCTTTTGCTGAATATTAAGCATACCCAACATAATACGGTAAAGAACAGTGCAGAATAGTCAGGCATATGGTTGTTCCTTGAGGAATGAATTCGATGTTTACATTTATATATTTCAGTTTATAGAATTTTGCAGCTATCTAAAACGTCTTATGTAGCCACTGAAAGCTAATTCCTGACATTTTGTAAACAGAAAAGAAATTTCATAGTTTTCATTAGTCACTTCAGTTTTTGCCCTAGATAATTAATATTATGAACTAGGCGAATAACCTCTACTACTACTACCACTACTGCTACTACTACTACTGTTACTACTGCTACCACTACTACTATTACTACCACTACCACCACTACTATTACTACTATGACTACTACTATCACCACTACCACTACCACTACTACTACTATCACTACCACCACTATTATTATTATTATTACTACAACTAATACTACTACTATTACTAGTCAGACTACTACTACTCACCTTACTCTCACCACTACCACCCACACTTCTACTACTACTAATAATAATAATAATGCCACTATGACTCACCCTCTCTCACTACTACTACCCACACTCCTACTTCTACTACTACTACTGCCTTCATTTTGTGCCTATTATCGTTACGAGGAAAATACTGACCGTATAGTTCAGCTATCACCATTTAAAAGATTTACATGAACACTAACCTATACATCTCAAGACTGATATATGCAATCATCACAAAATGACAAATCAGTGTAAAGCTTAAACCAGAAGGGGAATAACAAGAGGCATTATTACACATATTCAAGAATTGTCTTCTGGTTATCCTTAGAGCCAGATAATTTCACGTAAATTAACCATATATTTTTCAATTCTTCCTTTGACTGTACACTAATTTAAAAGATGGAAATAACTTGAAAACAACAACAACAACAATATCTTGATTCGAAACAAGACTTATCGTACACTATGTAATTCTAAGCATATATTAGTTCAACAAATCTATTCCCTGTACAATATCTTCAAGCGAAATAATCATTACATTTGAATAATGTTAATTATAACAGTAATAAATGCTATAATGTGAAACTAGCCCCTGGTATTACATTAACGTCTGGTCTGGACTGGTGAATGAAGATGATATCCAGAATAATTTTGCTGGAAGTAATTAATTCAGCCAGTACAAAAACCTACAATTTGATATAGTTATCGAAGGGAATAGTAATCTACTATATTTCTGTACATTTATAAACCCATCTCTATTATCTGCGTATTGTTCGTTTTTAAAACTATTTTAAAAGTGTGCTACAATACTTGACGCATTTGAAAGACATATTAAAACAAATTGAAAAAGATGAATTTGATGAAAATTTTCTGTAGCCAAATGTTTAGGCAGCCTAACATTTAGATTCATTTCACTTACACTTAAATATAAGATTTCCTGTTTGTATACAGTTTTGTGGTTGAATCAACCAGTCGGTTCGTTCCCATACATACTATATGAGTCCAATTGTGCTTCAGCTGATTCAAAGTTAGCGATATTTTATTTCATCACGAATAAAATAACCGACATCATTCTCAAGTCTACTACTAGTAGTCCCTTGGGTTCCTAATGGGACATAGTGCTTCAGTAGCACGTCTCCAGTGACCTCTGTTCTCTAAGATCTTTTGAACCTGGTTCCACGACAGCCCAGAAGCTCGCATTTCCTCCTCGCACATTCTCAAGTCTAGTAACTGTTAATTTTCCTTACTAAATGTTGACCCTCAACAATTCAATATTACAAGTTGTTATTCATCGTAGAATAACATCAGTTGGAGGAACAAAGGAAACCTGAGAGCATTGGACAGCTGTTTCGTCCTAGTGTGGGACTCCTCAGCAGTGCGCACCAACGACTCCGCCAGGGGTTCTTGGTGACTAGCTTCAAGAGGTATTCTCGAAGTTCCAATGAGAAGTCATGACCGGTGGGGGCAAAGCCTGATGGTCGTGAGGACAGTTACTCAACGATGACATTGTGGTGGTTGCCCTATATCGTGAGCTAACAGAAGTTGGAAATATGGAGCACTGGATTCCGACGCAGTTGCTGAATCGTAACGTGCTGGCCACGGAACCTGAAGGTTGTGAGTCCGATCCCTCGTGGGGTTGTGAGTGAACACTGCTGAGGAGTCCCATACTAGTCGGACAAAGCAGCTGTCCAGTGCTCCCAGGTTTTCATTGTTTTCACAACTGATATCAGTCTACGACGAACAACAACTTGAAATATTTCCAAATCCCTACAACTCCCTCAAAATTCATTTTAATATTAAATATACTTTCTATAAATATTCATATACTGTATTATAAACTTCATGATCAGAATACCATTACCATTCGTTAATACACGAATGTCACTCAGACTGTTGATAGAAGAGACACCATCCGCTTCTTTTGAAAACTATCTTGTTTGAAGTCTAGTACAATAACTCATAGACAAATGAAGTTTAAAGTTATTACAGTATTCGATCAGCACCTCCTCCAGGACTAGAGGAGGTAACTTTCCTGACTGCAGCATTTGATAATATGTACCGGAGTCTTACAGATGAACTTAGTTCCCTCCGGTTTTTGAATATGCCTCCCTGATGAGTGCCAATAGGCATGAAATCTTGATAAGGCAGGAATTCTTACCAGTAGCTGTCAATCAACCAATAAGTTTAGGTGTTTGTCTATCGAATGCTACCAGGTGATAACAATTGTACTCAACTTCATCAGAAAACAATCCTCTATTCATATGATCATTCTATGTCATGAGAACCAAAAAACTTCATTTTTAAATATATACACTGATGTATTCATATATCTACCATGAACGTTTATTCAGTTTTTATTTTCTATTCATTCAACAAAGTGGTTCAGTGTATTGCTTATTCTCTGGATATTGAATTGGTTACTTTGTTGGACAAATATACTCAGTCAAGCAATAAAACATGCCGGTGGTTGTCATCCATACAATCCAACATCTTATGAAAAAAACAATGAAATGCAAAAAGATGATGCTAGTATAAACGAATATGATTCGACTGACATTATAATTTGTACACGATTATAATTTAAGAATATAGCAAGGAGAAACAGAGACCTAGTGTAATTAATTGAATAGTTCAAGATATTCGTCACTTTCAGTGTCTTCAAAGTCAACTTCTCATTGTTTGAAAATATTTTCATGAAGGTATATACTTGAATATGTGAATATGATAACAAATAGTCTATTCCGAATACTCTTTTTTTCATTTACTTACCCTATTTTTACTCTACAACATTATGTTAACATCAAACTTATTTACCTTCATTAACGCCCACAGTTGGACAGCGATTTCTTGTAATAAAATCACAAATAAAAATCATTGAATACCGTTCTTCAAAGAGGATGGATATCATCTTTTTACAGATTGTGTACCTTAAATTGAACAATACTAATTACATAATGATTTATCATGTAAATTTATATTACAGCCAGATATTTACTGAAGTAACTTGTCTTTTCCATGTTATCTAAGGGTTCTCTATTATTTATCATTCAAGTTCTTCAACTAACTCAAGGAGTTTCATCATCGACAACCAGAGTCTTCTGAAGTATCTATTATGCACAAATTTTATTTTGGGAAATGTCATAAATACTACAATATATGATTCACTGTAAGAGTTTATGTTTACTCTCAGCTTAAATGATTTTCAATGTTGAGGTTTGAGTGCCGGACAGCTATGTCATCCTAGTATGGGACTACATCAAGTAGAACACGAGGACAGTTACTCAACGACAGCATTGGATGGAAACTGCGTTATATTAAGAGAAGTAAGAAAAATGGACCAATGAATTCCGACTCAATGACTCAATTATAACGTGATGGCCATGAAACCTGAAGGTCTTGGGTTCGATCCCCGGAGGGTGAGGTCATAGGAATGCACTGATGAAGACTCCCATACTAGGACAAGATAGTTGTCCAGTATTCCTAAGTTTTCAATGTTCCTCCAACTTATGTCAATCGATGATGAATACCAACTTTATATCATATAAAACCTAGGTGAACTGAGACATGAATTGTATTGACTCTGCACCTTGTATGCTAATATAATGTTTATGAACTGTACACCTGAAGTATAAAATAAGTGTTCAGAAGATAAGAGATTACCTTTTAAATAAGCCATTACATTCAAGCTAACTCTGAATACATAGTTCAAGGATTTACAATAACAAATCAAGTTTAAGATGTCAGAAATAACTCTGACCGGTTATAAACTCAGATATAACAAAAACATCCGTTAAAATTGAACACAGAACTGCTAACTGACTCAAACAGACTAGTTGAAAGTTAGTATAAATTTATTATACGTATAAAAATGTTAGGATAATCATTAAGTTAGTGAAAACAAGTGGAAGCCAAGGTTGCCTTGATTATTATGCATACAAATAAAGTAACTACAATGAGTATAAATAGATTATGTGAAGTATGGAAAAAAAAGTGGCAATCAGTATAATGACATAACTGAGTAGAAAATATTCACATCTTGAGATAAAAACATAGATTATCCAGATTTTGTATAGAAAAATCAAGTCGATAGGCTTAAAGTGACCGATAAGACTTGTGTACCTTATGAAGAAACTAGATTTCCAATAACAATTAAAAAATTTAATTGGTTACTGAAGTCTTTTCTAGGTTGACTTTTAACACCCCTCATCTTTGTTTTTGGATTTCGCTAATGATTTATGTCTAGTGTCACACAAACTCGAAGATCGACAGGCAAAAACTAACAAGTTGACAGAAGAGGCGAGGCAGGGCAGCGAAGACGGGACTTCAAGTAAACATAGAAAAGACAGAGGTAATGAATTTAAACAACCAACAACAAGCTCCAACCACCATCAACGGGACAAACTCAAAGAAGCTGTCTCTTTCACCTATTTAGGCAATGCAGCATCGTTTCAAACACAGGCAGCACAGGCACAAACGAGGATGTCAAATCTAACCAGGATAGGAAAGACATTAGGACAGGCGTTCATTAACTTGAAAACAGTGGGAATATCTCCTCCACTGCACTACGCATAAAGCCTGAACAACATCCGGATTTTCAACACCAATATCAAGTCGGTTCCGCTATATGGTTCAGATACTTGGCGCATTACGAAAAGCATTTCCAACAAACTACAGATATTCATCTACAACTGCCTACTCTGGCTCGCTACTGAAGCTCAGATGACAAGAATAATCAGAATAAGCAACAAGGAACTCTGTCTGGCTGGCTGGCTGGTTGGCAACGAACCAACGAAGCAAGAACCTACCACTCAACAAATATACACTGGAAGGAAGTGGAGATGGATTGGATTGAGCATACACTGACAAGACCATTCGAGGACATCACGCGCCAGACCAGTCACTCGAGTGTAACCCAGATGGGAAATGATGAGTTGGGCGTCCCAGCTGAGGGTGACATGGAGGAGATGGTGTGATGAAGAAATGAGAGGTTGTGGGGTGTCGTGGAGCCAGGTTGGAAAGATAGCACAGAAGAGAATGTGATGAGGACGTGCTACTGAAGTTCTAAATTCCATTAGGAAGCCAAGGTACAAATAATTATCATAATAATCATAATCTTTGTCGATGAAATCAGCAGTAAACACATGTGACAAGAATGACTCTATATCTGGTTCAAACACATGAAAACTGCAAGTGGCCCTAAAGGCCATCTGAACCACCGACGGGATAAACGATCACTTTTATTTATGTTTCATATAAAGATGCTTGCCAGGCTGGAGTACAGCAGTTGCATTTGAAATTATTCTTAAAAGCTACTACACATATTCAAACGGAAGGAGAGGAATGACTCTACAGTTCGTAGTAGTAAGGACTGAAGTAGCCAAATAAGTTCCTATATTTTGGCGGGAAACACTAATCTTCATAAAATAAAGAAAACTTGATTGGTTTTTTTGTTGATTACTAGAGTAGATTTTGTTGTCATTCGAAGAAGAGGTAATTAGAACCACAATAAGCAAGTTTTAAAGTTTTGGAGTTGTCTACACATGACTATGGAAAAAAAAATGTGTTCGGAACGTAATCTGGGAATAATTTCACTGCTTCAATCTTGCAAATCAACTGAAATGAAGCAATCGGGTCGTTCATCAAGCTGTAACTGGTAATTATATATTTGTCAGCAATCAGTCAGAGATGTTGTGTCATATTAATAGCATGCGCCTAAAACGCAAGACATTACCACTCAGGGGATCGAACTCAGGTCCTTCAGGATTCTCATCAAACACGTTAACCATTCAGCCACCTGGTCACTGCATACTGCTCACACCTTTCAAATGGGTTCTTCTTTAACTGATGTTGAACCATGATGAATAGTGTCTTAGTAAAGCAGTAAAACCACTATCAGAGAAATTTTCTGAACAAGATTATCAAGTGTTTTGCATTGAATAGTTATTGTTCATGGTCAAATCAAGTAGTATTCTAGGTTGTATAAGATGTAGTTTACTCTACTGCAATATGACTTATAGGTTCAGTGGAAACAACTGTCTATATGTACATGGTCAGTTTGAAAAGGACATTATAAACTGCTAAACACAAGTAGGGAGAGGATTGAAAGATTTATCCTATTTCAGCCCTTTTCCATGCATTTCGTTTTCATTGTTTCCACTTCTTCATCAAAACTGTTCAAAAACATTGTGGTCAAAATCTTGGGGATTACTTTATCGTCAAGGAATTAAACACTCGATTATTCGTATTGATAATTACTTAATTAACTTCTGTGTGTCTTTCGGATAACTAGACATGTATACCTTGTTCATTTTTCTACTCTGTCACAGATTTAACCTGCATTACGTGATCACAATCCTACTTTCATGATCCCCTGTTTATTCTCATGCCCTGTCATAGGTTTACCTGGTATTACACAATCGCTATTTTATCTTCATAACCCTTCATTCAGTTCCCCACCTTGCCATACATTCATCCTGTATTACGTATTTACATTTATTTTCATAATCCTCTGTCTATTTTCCCCCACTCTAAACTCAAATGTGTATTCATTAACTTCCTTCAGTTACTCAATATATTTTTCCCCCTGACCAGAAACAATTATGATACGTTTTACCCACCGTAACATATATTCACGAATGTATAACTTAGTAAATGACTTCATCGAAAAGAAGAAATTTTCTTCTCTGAAACCATGTCTTGTCTTTCCCCAAGATTGCTTATTCATTTATTCATGTTGTATGCAGCTGGAGAAAACCCTGTGACATAAATGATATCATCTTATCTTGTAAACCGTGTTCTCATTGCGTCATTCAAGATTTTGTCATTTTGGCCGAAAGAGCAGTTTTCCATGGAACAGAGGGAAGAATTTACTTTTATCTCAGCACCTGCTAGCTGATCATAACGTCACTAGTGAAGATTGGTTGAGACACCAATCCAAAAACAAAGTCAACCGGCTTGCAGCTCAACACCAGAATACTGTCATGATACAACATTACTCTCTTCCAAGTGATACTAAAATCTACTCTGTGAGGTGATAAAATAATTGATCAGGTTTCTTCATTGAATTGACTACTTCAGTCATTGTTGGTGTGAATGAGCTACAGAGTCATTCATCTCCTCCTGTTTGAATATATGTATTGAAATTTTTCCATGTGCTTGGATCAGATGTTGAGTTAGACTTGTTGTACGTGTGCAGTGTTGTACATTTTCTTGACATACACTTGATTACGCGATCCCTTTCTAACTCTACAATGCACTCACTATTTCCTCCCTAGAACAATCTGTTTTGATGACCTACTTTTGACGTATTAGCCAATAAAAGACTATGTTGTTTGTTTGCAAGTTTGTATTTATCATGCATGGACTGACATCATTTTGATGAACATTGGAAATTTGAATGGATTGGATACCTGTTTCGTCGTAGTGTGGACCTCCTCAGGAGTGTGTACCCATCACCAGGCCAGGGATTTGTTTGTTTGCTTGTTTGTACTTAATACAATTACGATTATACAGGTGTTGGTAATGATTCGTCTTAAAGGAAATTTTCTTTACTGAACTATTTTGTCATTATGAATATCTGAATGCGTCTCTTTCAGATGAATCGTAATATTTCTTCGCTGGCACTGTTGACTTCGAATTGTCCACCAAGGTAATTGAACAGAAATGAAATGAAACAGCCTATCAATGCCTATGGTTTGAATTCACATTTTCGTTTACGTAAAATTGACAACTGATGCTTCTGAAGTCACTCATTAAAAAAGAATTTCATTCCAACTGGCATAATCATGATTTTATGCACAGCTGATGAAATCAGTAGATTATCTATTTTCCTTACAACTGTTATACTCCTGAGTTAGATCCGTCGCTACTTTGACGTAACTTGATCTGGTTGCAATTATCTTTAGCACTAAATCCTCGTGATTCTGTCCTAACTCACCTTGTTCGTGATTGATCTTAACAACCATAGAACACAAAGTCGGGTGCCTATTGTCCGTATTTATCAGGCGGTTTGATTTACCTTTATATACAACTAAATTACTTGAACACAATGCACCTTAATTTATAAAGATGCAGCAACTAACTTCAAGCAAACAAAGTGGGATAATGCACGATGACTTGTTTCTTCACTGAACATGCAGTTATTTCCGAACTATAAGTCATGCATAAATGAATGAGCAATCAATTGAAAGCTCTTGAACTAAGCTATACAATAATATAACCCACTAGATAGTGGGCAGGGTGACCAGTGACACATTTAGGAATCACGTTCTTCAAATTTCGGCTGATATATGTATTGCATTTTTGAGATGAATGAGGATTTTTAATTTCGAAGCAGTATTCATCATGGACATTGGACATGCACTGAGAAGACCATTCGGGGACATCACGTGCCGGACTAGGCACTGGAGAGTAACCCAGATGGGAAATGACGAGTTGGGCGTCCCAGCTGAGGGTGACATGGACGATATGGTGTGAGGAATGAATGACAGCTTGTGGGCAGTGGTGTAGCCAGGTTGAAAAGATTGGAGAGAAGAGAGTGGAATAGAGACATGCTATTAAAGCCGTATATTCCACTAGGAACCCAAGGGACAAATAAATGAATAATAAATAATTCATTATGAAATGATATTAGTTGGGGAACCAACATAGGTCGTGGGTGCGTACTGCTGAGGAGTCCCATACCGGGATGAAACAGCTGTCTAGTGCCCCCCGATTTTTAATGGTTTCCCAACTGATGTCAGCCTGTAATCAATACTAACTCTAAAATTAAAAATCCCTGTTCATCTAAAAAGATACATTACTGTATAGTGCTCATTAATGACACTCTTCCAGGTGGATATCACGAAGCTCTAATGAGAAGTCATGACCTGTGGGGTCGACCAGTCGGAAGTGAAATGGATGTTAACTGAAGATTATGGGTGATAGTCGAGCTATATCATCATGAATTGAAATAAGTTTGAAATTGTGAACCACTAGGTACCAACCGAGTGACTGAATGGTTAAAGCGTTCGCCGTGAAACCCGAAGGTCTTGAGTTCCATCCCTAGTCGGGTGGTAGATGCGTACTGTTGAGAAGACCCATACCAGGAAGAAACAGCTGTCCAGTGCTGCCCGATTTTCAATGTCACTCCATAATGAATACTGCTTTGATATATGTATGATTAACGACCATTTTATGCATTTCAAAAACCTTTTTTATTAAAGAATATCTTTTATAAATAATTACAAATGTTAATTACAAAATAATATTTTTAAGTATGCTAATGTTTCAATACAAATATATATTGTTGTAAATCTATGTGAATATAAAAAACTACTTATAAAAGTAGTACTACAAGTCTGAGCAAATTAAACTTCAGTTAAGTTTGTACAACTATCTAATTTATAAGGATCATTACCAAATTTTTTTGCATTTGGTAAAATTGACCATTTTCGTCGAATTGCGACCAAGTTTAACACAATCAGTGTAGTCAATAAAAGAGACCACTATGATGAAAAGAAACATAGAAGAGAGCAGCATCTTATGAGTAAGTACCTATGAAAACTACAATAACTTACTCACATTAATCAATCTACTGATAGAAAATAGACTTATGTTAATATATATCTGAACTTATAACCATGAATAGTCAAAGATTACGGAATTGAAAGTTGTTTAAAACCTTCTTTCAAAGCGTTTAACAATGAAGTGAATGCAACTATTCTTGTTGTGATCTAGTGGACAATAATCATCCAGCCTTGTTGAAGTGATCAAGTGGAACAATAAGAAATAAGCGAATGATACTAACACAATGAGACATACGAACCGGATACAAATAGGGGACTGTTCAGCGTCAGAACCTTACAGTTCACTAAGCCTTGAAAATATCAGAAGACGAGGACCAGTCTGTGACTGTGAGCAAGATATTCTATTAGAGAAAATTGCCTCATTTATACACATTATTCACAAATATTTAAAACCAGCAGACCAAGAGTTGAATGAAATTATTCTAATTGGTCAACTGTAGGATGAAACTGTCCAGTTAGGCTTTTTCTGACGACACATTGACAAGAAAAGGAAAATCAAATCTGAAACTAGTAGTCTCAGCAATGAATATAGGTACTGTTGATAGAAGACAAGCTGGATCGGCGAAAAAAACCTAGAAGATTTCGATTTCGCTGATGAATCATGTCCAATGTCACACAAACTCGAAGATCGACAGGCAAATACTAACAAGTTGACAGAAGAGACGAGGCAGGGCAGCGAAGATAGGACTTCAAGTAAACATAGAAAAGACAGAGGTAATGATGATACCCAACCAACAACAACAACAAGCTCCAATCACCATCAGCAGACAAATTTAAAGAAGCTGCCTCTTTCACCTACACCTACCTGCGCAATCCAGCATCATTTCAACTATAGGCGATAGGCACAGACGAGGATGTCAAAGCCAATTAGGATGGGAAAGACATTAGGACAGGCATTCATGAACCTGAAACCAGTGTAGAGATCTCCTCCACTGCACTACGCATAAAGCCTGAACAACATCCGGATTTCCAACACCAATACTCAGTCGGTTCTGCTATATGGTTCAGACACCTGGAGTGTTACGAAAAGCATTTCAAACAAACTACAGATATTCATCAATAACTGCCTACGTTGTCTCTTTACTGAAGATCAGATGACCAGAATAATGAGAATAAGCAAGAAGGAACTCTATCTAGTTGGCTGGCTGCCTGGCTGGCTGGCAACGAACCAACGAAGCAAGCACCTATCTCTCAATAAATATACACTGGAAGGAAGTGGAGATGGATTGGATTGCGCATACACTGACAAGACCATTCGAAGACATCATGCGCCAGACCAGTCACTCGAGTGTAACCCAGATGGGAAATGACGAGTTGGGCGTCCCAGCTGAGGGTGACATGGAGGAGATGGTGTGAGGAAGAAATGAGAGGTTGTGGGGTGTCGTCGAGCTAGGTTGGAAAGATTGCAGAGAAGAGAGTGTAATGAAGACGTGCTACTGAAGCTCTATATTTCATTAGGAACCGAAGGGATAAATAATATAATGATGATTTTATTCAGAAGACAAAGTTCATCTGAACAATATGATATAGTTGCACAACACACTTCGAACAAACTTACCACACATTTACTCGTCAAGTCAATCTATATAAAAGCAATGATTGGGAGGATTCGAAGTGAAAATAATGAGGATAAAAAAAGAGTGATAGAGTTAACCTTAATCTTGATAAGAAATAGAAGTTGCCCAAGGTAAGTTTGACGTCAAGGCGAATTGTTTTTCCATCCACACGATGGTGGTTTCAACTTGTATGTGGTTATCGCTTCTAAATATCTCAGCTTATATCCCTGACTGTTTCTACACAAAACTTTGCAAGCTGTGTAAACATTAAATCTGCGACCCGTTTCTTTGATTCAAGAGTAAACTTAAGAATGAGAGATATTTATCATTCTCATTCACATGATACAGACTCATATCAGCCTAACTTACGTGAAATAAATAATAATCATATGATATTCTTAGATTTAAGCTTGAGTGAACGAAAAGATAGCTCAATAAGACGGTCGGTCTACAGAAAGCCGACAAGGACACTTTTTGTTCGATCCAATACAAGCGAGGTCCAATAAAATGCTTGTTTAATACGATCTATCGCACCTATACATCATATACGATAGATGAAAAAATCAAATTACTGACCAAAACACCTATAGAAGGGGATCATCTTGAAGTTTGTAAACCGTTATAGAAGTCAAGTAACACCGAAGCCAACTGCATATACACTTCTTAGGAGAAGTATCTATATCACTCCAACATACAGCAGAAGGGAGTTGAAAAGTATAATTTTGAGACGTAAGCTGCAATCAGCCATTAGCGAAACATGTTATAAAGCTAAGATTTCCACTGAGGAGAAAGCAAAACACATGCTTCATCAGAAACCTAATCATTGCATGAATGATTAAGTCACATTCTATTATGTCCTGAAATATGCCCAAGCGATAGTCATATACAAGTTGAAACCACCTTCATGTATATAAAAAAAATTGTCTTGACACTAGACCTAGATTGAGCAACTTTGTTTTCTTAAAAGGGTTAAGATAAACTCTGTCACTCCTCCTTTTTGTCCTAATCTTTCTCAGTTCATATCCTCCCATTCATTGCTTTTATATAGACTAATTTGACGATTAAATATGTGATCAGCTTGTTCGAAGTTTGTTGTGCTACTGAACTTGGTCTCCAAAATTTTATCGTCCGGAAACTGAAATGTACAAACCTCTACTTTAGCGGATAATGACTTAAAATGTTGGTTTCTATTAATCCTACTTCTTATCACGTATCAAGATAAATTCATTGATGATTTTTATTTACCTTGCATAACTAGTAATAGCTCACCAGTTCGACTCCACAAATAGTTTTACTTAAAATTTTTATTTCATCTCACGCAAATTCATAGATTTATCTTTGAAAATTACTAAGTGTTTGTTAGCAATATATCATAACTTACTTCGAAGAATAACGTGGTAACCGACTTATAGGTTAACATGTACCAATGATCATCATTTGCAGTCATATCATATATCCACCAGGCAAGTAGAATTATTCCTTGCAATGGCACGAGAACGCTGAGATAACAAGTGAGAAAACGCATTAAATCAATGTTGGTGTATTTAGATATCCAAATTTGTTTCACCTGACGTTTCACTATTTTGTGCTACTAATAGCCTGATCGAATAGCTGGACGAAGATGCTATCCATATGCAACGTGTTGTATATATATATATATATATATATATATATATATATATATATATATATATATATATATATATATATATATATATATATATATATATATATATATATATGAAGAGTGTATGAATTAGAGACTGAGATTTGCATACACATGTAGGTATTGATAGTTCTTATCGCATGAATATTGTTTATGTCTGAATGAGGGGTTGGGTTGAGATGAGGTGGAACTACATTCTTCTCCTTCATTCTCATTTAGACAAGTTTGATTCCACTTACTGTGAAGAGATTCAGTTATCAGACATTTATAATAATTTCGATGTTTTCAAAATAGACCTTGTGACTTGAAATTATAGCATATAGAGCTGTAGCTGATGTGTTTTCAAGTTTTTATAGTTCCACTGGATTTCTAAGCAGACAGGTGTTCATTCTTCCTAATTTTGATTTCATGGAAAGTTTTTCCTATGTTTACTCCATCACAGTCTGAGCATTTTATTTAATAAACACAATTAGACTGTGAATCCAGAAGGATTTCATCCTTCAAATGAACTAAAGTGTTCTGAAATACATTTAATGTTCTGTAGAACACTCTGATACCTACAAATAATGCAGATGAAGAGAAGAAGGAGGAGTTTTATAGACAACTGTAATCAGCTCTGGACAAGACCTCAGTTGATGATATCAAAATTGTAATGGGCGACATGAATGTCAAACTGGGAGTGGACAACACAAGAAGAGAAATAACCATAGGTTGAGAAGCACTGGATGAAATGAACGAGAATGGAGAATCGTTTGCAGAATTCTGCTCATTCAACGATTTGGTGATTGAAGGCAGTGTGTTCAAGCACAAGGATATCCACAAAGCGACATGGATTTCACCAGACACCAGAACACACTAAAAATCAGATCGACTTCATCTCAGTGTGAAGGAAGTGTAGACGCAGTCTACTTGACACAAGGTCAAGAAGAGGAGCAGATGTAGGTTCGGACCACTATCTAGTGCAAGGAACCTTCCAAATCAAGTTAAAAGCCTTCAGGGAAGTTGGTGATAGACCGCAGTTCAAGTTCAACACTCGGAAACTGAAGGACGAAACTGCAGACGACATCTTCATGTCAGCCATCAAGACAAAATGGGTGATATCGAGGAACATCCCTGAAGAAACCTGTGTGAATGAACACTGGGAGTCTTTGAAAGAGATGTAGAAAGAAACTGGCATAACCGTATTAGGGAGGAAGAAGAAAGAAGATAAGGAATGGATCTCGACGGACACATGGAAGCTGATAGAGGAGAGGAGAGGAGAGGAGAGGAGAGGAGAGGAGAGGAGAGGAGGAAGGTGAAGCAGAAGATAAACCAGTGCAAGAATGCACAACTAGAAGAGGAACTGAGTACAATGTATAAAACAGTGGACAAAGAAGTGGGAAGAGTGCACGCAAAGACAAAAGACACTTCTACGAAACACTGGCAAGTGAAGCAGAACAGGCTGCAGGTAGCAGAGACAGAGACCTGACAACATTGTATCAAATAACCAGGTTACTATCTGGGAGGGAAGAGATCAATGCAGACGAAACCAATAAAAGATGATGACGGAAATTTGATTACCAAAGAAGAGAAACAAAGGAAAAAATGGGCTGGCCGACCACTTCAAGAAGCTCTTGAATCGACCACCACACCTGCACTTCGTCCAGAAATACCACCTGCAGTCCAGCCACAGAACTACAAGTGAACATAAATCTTCCAACAAAAGTCGAAGTCCTGAACCCCATACAGATACTGAAATCCGGGAATGCAGCAGGAATATATGGAATCCCGCCAGAAGCACCGACAAAAGACGCAGGGAAAACCGCGGACATGCTCACACTACTATTACAGAAGGTCTGGAAGAAAGGAAAGGTACCTGCAGATTGGAAGACGGGCTACCTTATCAAACTCCCGAAGAAGGGAGACCGAACTCTTTGCAAGAACTGGTGTCGAGTCACTCTCCTGTTCACCCAAAGCAAGCAAAATATTATACCGCATCATCTTGGAGAGACTAAAGGATGCACTGGATTCAAAACTATGACAAGAGCAGGCTGGCTGCATTCAGGAAGTACAAATCATATATGGACCAAACTGCAAAGCTACACTACTCATCATCATAGAACAGAGTATAGAATGGTAGTCAACTCTCTACCTCACCTCAACTTCATCGACTTTGAAAAGGCCTTCAACAGCGTCGACCGACAAGTAATTTGGTAGGCAGTTGCTTCGACACTCGAGAGAATACCACAAACCTTTATCAACCTCATTCAACAACTATATGAAGACGCCACATGCCAAGTAGTTCACAATGGGAAGCTCAGTGATGCCTTTGAAGTGAAGACAGGAGTTAAAGAAGGGTGTCTAATATCACTTATGATATTCCTGACTATGCTCCAGTGAACTAGATCATACAACAAACAGTGAAGAGCGAGAAGAAGAGGATACGCTGTTTGACTGGGGAAAAGAACCTAGAATATTTCGATTTCGCTGATGAATTACGTCTAATGTCATACAAACTCGAAGATAGACAGGCGAAAACTAACAACTTGACAGAAGAGGCGGGGCGAGGTAGGGCAGCGAAGACAGGACTTCAAGTGAACATAGAAAAGACAGAGGTGATGAATTTAAACAAGCAACAACAACAACAAGCCCCAGTCACAATCAACAGGAGAAATGTGAGGGAAGTAGCCTCTTTCAACTACACCTACCTACGCAATCCAGCATCATTTCAACTATAGGCGATAGGCACAAACGAGGATGTCAAAGCCAACCAGGATGGGAACGACATTAGGACAGGCATTCATGAACCTGAAACCAGTGTAGAGATCTCCTCCACTGCACTATGCATAAAGCGTGAACAACATCCGGATTTCCAACACCAATTCTGCCAAGTCAGTGCTTCAATGTGATGGTTGAGAGACTTGGCGCGTCATGAAAAGCATTTCCAACAAACTACAGATATTCATCAATAACTGTCTACGTTGTCTCTTTACCGAAGATCAGATGGCCAGAATAATAAGAATAAGCAACAAGAAACTCTGGCTGGCTGGCTGGTTGGCAACAAACCAACGAAGCAAGAACCTATCACTCAACAAATATACACTGGAAGGAAGTGGAGATGGATTGGATTGAGCATACTCTGAGAAGGCGGATTGGGGACATCATGCACCCGGTCAGGCACTCGAGTGTAACCCAGATGGGAAGTGACGAGTTGGGCGTCCCAGCTGAGGGTGACATGAAGGAGATGGTGTGAGGAAGAAATAAGAGGTTATGGGTAGTGGTGTAGCCAGGTTGAAAAGATTGCAGAGAAGAAATTGGAATAGATACATGCTACTGAAGCTCTATATTCCATTAGGAACCCAAGGGACAAATAATAATAATAATAATAATAATAATAATAGTAGAACACTGATGCTGTATGTGCTGAGGGCTTTCCTAATTTCATCCGATGTGTGTGATCTGGAAGAGATAACTTTTGTTGAAGTACTGAATCATCTCCGGTAAATATTAAGAAAGATTACAAATATTAAGCTTTCATCATCGAATTGGTTATGTCTGAAAATATCAACGAAACATTCTTAGAAATCCATTTCTAAGCCTTTTTATCTTTATTTCCTTTTATTGTTCTTTCCTACAACTGAAGATATTTCATGAAGATAGCGGGCTGTTATGTAGTGCATTTTGATTTGTATTGATCAAAGAATAGTGACGTTTACTCAAATGAGCCCTACAACATGTAAGTTCCTTTGATACTTCCACAATAGACCAACACTTTTGGTTGTATTGCCTTCTCTGAGCTGGGTTATTGTTTAATAGTGAAGCTTTCATCGTCTTGCTAGACGAGCTGTCAGTAACTCTCCATCAGTGATTTAGTAGCTTGATTTCACGAAGCGGTCTGTGATTGGTTGTTTCCTTCAATTGTTGTGTCATTGACTGCACAGATTTTTCTGTTGACTGTCCCTCTGCTTCACCTCTCACCTTTCTGTCGTTTATCATCTTCCGTATTGGTTGATACATCGGGTCTATGTCTATACATCTGTTGAATGCTGACTGACTGACTAACTGACGTGAATGTCAAGCTTCTAGGAATTCTCTGAGTTTCTTTGTGTTTCCTCTCTCTATCCAAAATCTCTACAGAGTCCAAATTGAATTCATGTCCATAATTATCCACATGCATTGGCATTTAATAGGCAATTGGTGTTCATGTAGACGAAGGCGAAGAGGGTTACCACTTTGTCCAATGTAGTGTTTACTACAGTTATTCCAGTTGATTTTGTAGATGAAGTTAGGTTCGTCTTCTTCGCTTGTTGCATCCTTCGGTCTGTATAATTCAGTTTGCAGGGGATTTGTTGGTTTATGAGTCACATCAATTCGAAGTGGTCTCAGTAATCTTGTTGTGATTTCTGATACATTCTTTATGTATGGTAAGATGATGCGTTTGTTGATTTCTGTGGATGACAATGTAGTTGGTGATGTAAGGGATAGGCATCTTCTGATAAAGTTTTGTGGGTAACCGTTCTTCTTTAGGATGGACATCAAGTAGTTTTCTTCGTTTCTCCTTGAAGTTGTTGTGCTGCAGTGTGTTCTCGCTCATTTGAATAGAGTCTGCACGCAAGTGATCTTGTGGGTTGTTGGGTTGTTGCTATTGTAGTTGAGGATTTGATCAGTGTGTGTTGGTTTCCTGTACACCTGTGTTTCCAGCTTTCCCGTATTTGTTCTATTGACCATAACATCCATGAATGGTAGTTGGTTGTTTAACTCCTTCTCCATTATGAATTTGATGTCACTGAAAATGTTGTTGATCAAACTGTGGGTGTTTTCTATATAATAGCGAATCCAGAATTTTGGTTTGATCACAGGTAGAATAATGGCTTTAAGTCTCTGCATCACTGCTTCTGCAATCATTCCGGATATCGGTGATCCCATTGTAGTTCCTTTCATCTATTTGTATATCTTGCTGTTGAATTGGAAGTATGTTATCGTCTAGAGGGACGATGAATGCTTCACGATTAAACAACCCAGCTGCTCAGAGAACACAATACAACCAAGACCATCCACCTGAGCTACAAATATTCTCCACTAGACCAACACTTTCTTTCATGTGTTTCATGAATCACCTCATGGGATTTCAATATCTAGACTGACGCCTACTTACTTCCAATCCACAAAATACATTATTTTCTATACCACTAAGTTTATTTAACTCTTCCATAGAAAATCTCCTCAACTGATCAGTTATCTTACAAACTTTTATTATATACTTTTCAGTGGAAATATGGTGTTAGAAAAACTGATATTTTTAGCCGTAAAATATAGTAACAGGACTACCCTATGTAGTGGCGAATATTTAAGCAACTGCTGTAATATTCAACATTATGGATGCTTCTCTTTAGGATTAGAGATCAAAGTTTGCATTCAGTTGTAAATAACATTTTAGTCTAATTAGTTACACAATCCTGAGGATATCAGCTACAATCTAGTCTTGTGAGTAATTCATGCAGTTCACCTGTTAAAAAATTCTTCGAGTTAATCTTAAGAATTTGGTAAGCCGCTAAAACATTTTCTAATCGATAATATTTAAAGTATATTGAAAAGAGAAATAAATATATTTTTGGCGATGGAATGCCTGTAAAATTTAAAAACTTTAAGCTGGATTTCTATGAGTGACACATTTAGTGTTGTTGTTATTGTTATGATAAACCTCCGTTGTAGAGGTACAAACTATAACAACTTCAAAACCATACTATATCTGTCATTATTATTATTAGTCCCTTGGGTTCCTAATGGAACATATGACTTCACTAGCACGTCTCCAGTGAACTCTCTTCCCTGAAATCTTTTGAACCTGGTTCCACAACAGCCCAGAAGCTCTCATTTCTTCCTCACACGATCTCCTCCATGTCACCCTCGCCTCGGACACCCAACTCGTCGCTTCCCATGGGGATTCCACTCGAGCAACTGGCCTGACACGTGATGTCCCCAATCGGCCTTCTCAGTGCATGCCCAATCCATCTACACTTCCTCCTGCATATTTGCTGCGTGATAGGTTCTTGGTTGGTTCGTTCCCAGAGCACCTTGTTGCTCATGCTTGTTATCCTGGTCATCTGATCTTCAGTAGCGAGCCAGTGTAGGCAGTTGTTGATGAATGTCTGTAGTTTATTGGAAATCCCTTTCGTGACGCGCCAAGTCTCTGAACCATACAGAAGCACTGACTTGACACTGGTGTTGAAAATCCGCATCTTGTTCCACATGCTGAGTGGAGTGCAGAAGATCTCCACACTGGTTTCAGGCTAATGAACACCTGTTTTGCTTTCCAGATTCTGACTTTGATATCCTCGTCTGTGCATTGGTTGTCTGTAGTTGAAACAATGCTTCCTAGATAGGTGAAGGAGGTTACTTCCTTTAAGTTTCTCCCGTTGATGGTGACTGGAGTTTGTTGTTGTTGTTGATGGTGGTGGTGCGGTATCTTCATCACCTCTGTCTTCTCTATATTCACTTGAAGTCCCGTCAATATCTGTCATACAAAGAGTGTTTAGCATAACTCGTCAGCCTAGTTAATGATACTCTGGCATTTTAAGCGCATGATTCTAGGTTCGAGGTTTAATAGGATCAACATCACTTACTGAGATTCAGGTACACCCAGCCAACGAACCCCACATAGGATGATACGCGTGTCCTATATTCTACTTCTACTACTACTACTACTACTAATAATAATAATAATAATAATAATAATAATAATACCAACACTAATACTGCTAATACTACTAGTATTACTAATACTACTACTACTACTACCCAATTAGCTGTCACTAATATCAAGTGACAGTTTTGTTCTTACTGCCATTTAGAGTCTGTGACTTTTTCCAGTCGGGATAACATGTGTTTTACTGAAGGTTAGTGCGATTCTCTGATCCAATTTATGTTTACGTTATTAAATTCTCCTGTTGTTCAAGACTGTCAACCACATGATTACAAGTTGACAAAGGATCTTCCGTTTAAACTGTTTATCCATTTCCTTCTTTAAGGTAGCTAACAAACAATGAGGTTTACAAATATCCATGATAAAAATCAAACCGATATATACATGTTTGTCATTCTTGATAATCAATAAAACTTCAGTCTTCTTTTAAATGGTTTTCAGAGGAAAAATCAAAGAAGTATCTATATTTACTAATTCTTTAGGTGAGTCTCAAATCAAAGATTGTGGAGAAAAACTAAGAAAACAGAGAAAGATTGTCAGCTGCGTTGTCGCAGTATGTGACGCCTCAGCAATGCGTACCCACGACCCCACCTCTTCAGGGGTCCAACTCGCGAACTTCATGTTCCCTGGCCAGCACGTTACCATTCAGCCACTAGGTCAGAATCCAATGCTCCATATTTCCAACTTCTGTTAGCTCACGATATAGGGCAACCATCACCCAATGTCATCGTTGAGTAACTGTCCTCACGACCATCAGGCTTTGACTCCACGGGTCACGTCTTCTCATTGGAACTTCGAGAATACCTCTTGAAGCTAGTCACCAATGAGCTATATCGTGAGCTAACAGAAGTTGGAAATATGAACTATTGGATTCTAACTCGGTGGCTCAAGGGTAACGTGGTTGGCAATGGAACCTGAAGGTCACGGGTTCGATCCCTGGAGAGATGGGGTCGTGGGTGCGACTACTGTGGAGTCCCATACTAGGATGAAATAGCTGTCCGGTGCTCCTAGGTTTCCTTTGTTTCTCCAACTGATGTCAGTCTATGATGAATACCAACTTAAAATATTTCGAAATCCCCACAACTCCCTCAAGAAAACATCCACATAATTTGATATCGGATCACATAGACATTAATAATATTAACCAGAAACCACAAGTCATAAAGATCAAGACTTTTCTTGTGCTAATTGCTATTTGAAAAACTGATAAAAGTATCTTATCTACTTACGTAATTAAAAATACCCAAATTTTAGGTAATTTCCAGTCACCTATACCGAATTCATTAACAATACAACGTCGATATTTCATAGGTCCATATTTAATGACTAAGCATGCCATTAGCATACCAGATACCAACAGTCCAAATCCCCAAACATCATCCTTAAAGTGAAAATGTAGAAAAATATCAATCAGTAACATTTAATAAAACTGATAGGAGAGTAAACTAATATTGAGTATAGATGATTAAGTTATTATCTCGATGAAATCCCTATTACAAGTTTGTATCACTGACAATAGTCTTGACAAACACTAGCCTGAAACAACAGAAACAACAGCAAATAAATAGGCAAACGTGATCAGCAAAACAGCATGGATAAGTCAACTCCTTTTAAATCGATTCTATTACACCACTTAGGTTTTCATATCGACCTCATCTGTATAAGACAAACAGTAGAAGGATTCATCAGCTTATACCATATTTTAACCTGACTGTTTGTAGTCTTTTCCCAGCGCAAACCTATGTCACTTAACCACTTTTCCCACTATTCCAATAGAAGACAAGAGTAGAAATAAGTTCTCAAACAAAGTTTAGTATTTTGCTGGTGAAAAACTCATCCTAAACGTATCAAGTTGCAAAGGAAGCTGAAACTATTGACTTAAAAAAGTCTTCATATCACATTTATTCTGGTAGCTTAAAGATAAGGAAGTTGCGCCTACAACTAACAAGTAAATTCTCTAAATGTAAACAAGTTCATGTTTAAATGCTCAAACAGTTTACTGTAGCTTGTGAATCATTCACTGAAAACTATTATAGGACCAAATCCCTGTCCAGGTCGCGGGTACACACTCCTGAAGAGGTCCACACTACGACGAAACAGGTATCCAATCCATTCAAATTTCCAATGTTCATCAAAATGATGTCAGTCCATGCATGATAAATACAAACTTGCAAACAAACAACATAGTCTTTTATTGGCTAATACGTCAAAAGTAGGTCATCAAAACAGATTGTTCTAGGGAGGAAATAGTGAGTGCATTGTAGAGTTAGAAAGGGATCGCGTAATCAAGTGTATGTCAAGAAAATGTACAACACTGCACACGTACAACAAGTCTAACTCAACATCTGATCCAAGCACATGGAAAAATTTCAATACATATATTCAAACAGGAGGAGATGAATGACTCTGTAGCTCATTCACACCAACAATGACTGAAGTAGTCAATTCAATGAAGAAACCTGATCAATTATTTTATCACCTCACAGAGTAGATTTTAGTATCACTTGGAAGAGAGTAATGTTGTATCATAATAGTATTCTGCTGTTGAGCTGCAAGCCAATTGACTTTGTTTTATGGATTGGTGTCTCAACCAGTCTTCACTAGTGACGTTATGATCAGCTAACAGGTGCTGAGATAAAAGTGAATTCTTCCCTTTGTTCCATGGAAAACTGCTCTTTCGGCCAAAATGACTAAATCTTGAATGACGCAATGAGAACACGGTTTACAAGATAAGATGATATCATTTATGTCACAGGGTTTTCTCCAGCTGCATACAACATGAATAAATGAATAAGCAATCTTGGGGAAAGACAAGACATGGTTTCAGAGAAGAAAATTTCTTCTTTTCGATGAAGTCATTTACTAAGTTATACATTCGTGAATATATGTTACGGTGGGTAAAACGTATCATAATTGTTTCTGGTCAGGGGGAAAAATATATTGAGTAACTGAAGGAAGTTAATGAATACACATTTGAGTTTAGAGTGGGGGAAAATAGACAGAGGATTATGAAAATAAATGTAAATACGTAATACAGGATGAATGTATGGCAAGGTGGGGAACTGAATGAAGGGTTATGAAGATAAAATAGCGATTGTGTAATACCGGGTAAACCTATGACAGGGCATGAGAATAAACAGGGGATCATGAAAGTAGGATTGTGATCACGTAATGCAGGTTAAATCTGTGACAGAGTAGAAAAATGAACAAGGTATACATGTGTAGTTATCCGAAAGACACACAGAAGTTAATTCAGTAATTATCAATATGAATAATCGAGTGTTTAATTCCTTGACGATAAAGTAATCCCCAAGATTTTGACCACAATGTTTTTGAACAGTTTTGATGAAGAAGTGGAAACGATGAAAACGAAATGCATGGAAAAGGGCTGAAATAGGATAAATCTTCTCAATCCTCTCCCTACTTGTGTTTAGCAGTTTATAATGTCCTTTTCAAACTGACTGTGTTCATATAGACAGTTGTTTCCACTGAACCTATTGTCGTATCGCAGTAGAGTAAACTACATCTTATACAACCTAGAATAATACTTGAGTTGACCATCGACAATAACTATTCAATGCAAAACACCTGTTAATCTTGTTCAGAAAATTTCTCTGATAGTGGTTTTACTGCTTTACTAAGACACTATTCATCATGGTTCAACATCAGTTAAAGAAGAACCCATTTGAAAGGTGTGAGCAGTATACAGCGACCCGGTGCCTGAATGGTTAACGTGTTTGATGAGAATCCTGAAGGACCTGAGTTCGATCTTTTGAAAGGTGATCAGTGCATACTGCTAGAATGTCTCATGCTATCTTGGTTGTATTGTGTTTTTTGAGATGGGTTGTTTAGTCGTGTTTAGTCCTTTCTTAACAAGTCCTTCCATTTTTGAGCTACCTGAGATCGCATGCTGCGTACATGCAGTGGGATGGAACCCGTTAAGACTTATTCGCCTTCAGAAGTCGTACCCGACACTGAAAGAATTGATCAAAGCCATAACTGAAGGGACAGAGACACAAACGTCTGCGGGAGATAAAGAGTTGAGAACGTTGTTGACGCAGAAAGAACGCCTACGGATGAATACTTATGGAATGCTAACGTGGCAAGAAAATGAAGGAAGCTGGTTGGCAGTGATTCCGAAATGTCTACGCATTAAAATGAGACAAGAATGCTACCATTTAGCCCATACAAGTGTCTCACGGACAGCTGACCTTCTCAGACAAAGTGCATACTGACCAGGTATGAGAGAGGATGTTGCCAAATACCTGCTGAGGTGTCCTCATTGTCAACTGATGAAAGGTGATCGGCCGCCACTGCAGTCGATTCCGTAGCAGCGGTTGGTGACCTGTGGTCGGTGGGCGTAATGGGACCATTTCCGCAGTCGTCTAGTAGTAACCAATACCTGCTGGTGATGATGGAGCATGCTACACGATGGGTAGACGCTGTCACGATTCCTGATCAACGCGCGAAGACAGTGACCGCAGCGGTGTACCGAAGATGAAACTGACCGACCAAGGTCCTTGTTTGAGAGTGAAGAATTTAAATCCTGTTTGGAGCAGCTTGATATCAAGAGGATAAGAACGACGCCGTACCATCCGCAGACTAACGGTTTGACAGAACGGAACAAACGTACACCTAAGGAATGCCTGGCTGGCTTCGAAAGCCAAGCAGAGAACTGGGAGACATAACTGCCGTTAATATTATTAGCTCATCGTGCCTCGGTACAAGGAACAACCAAGAAGTCGGCGATCCAGTTAATGTATGGCAGGAAACCACGGCTTCTGATACATAGTAAGACCTGGCCCCAACAACAGCCTTGGAACATGACAAGATTGAGAGAGGAGCAGAAACAGGCTATGAGGAATGTGGAACGAAAGCAGAAGGCTGATGCTGAAAAATCTGAGCAGAGAGAAGGAAGTAAATGGAAACCATTTGAGGTTGGAGATCAGGTGAAATGTAAAGAACGAGGATATACGTCAGGAGGTGAGTATTGCAGAAGGAAACTACTTCCGAAGTAGAAAGGACCATACATCACTACCGAGAGATGCGGTTCAATTTATACCATCAAACAAGGGAACAAAGAGAAAAGAGTAAACGCCAACCTACTTCAAAAATGGAAGCAGTTAAAAAAAAACGAAACAGCGAGTGAAAACCAAGAGAAGACAGCACCAAGACTATCAACACGGTTACAAGCCCGGAATTTTGAGGGGGAGACGAGTGTAGTGGGCGTTGCTGATAACAACGGATATAAGTAGTATATATGGAGAGAGTGGCAGGAATCATAGGGAATTACCGGCAATGGGTAAGGTTTCTACCAAGAGCGACGCAGGGGACAACACAGGCGTATTACAGGGGACTCTGCTGATAAGAGTGTATGAAGAGCCGGTCAAGAGCAAATATGACAGGAACAGATAGGAAACGAAGACATTTGCAAATGGCTGCGTTAGTGCAAGGAGTACCATATGAAACTACTACCATTCCACTTCTGTGTAACACACGTTCTCTCGTTCAGTTGTCTTCTGTTTCTGTAATACTTTCTATTTGGGTAGGTCCAAGAACCACTGATAGAAGTGTAGAACCTGAGCACTGCGGTAGGATTTAGTTCTGTGTTACTTACTTGATAACACTTCGGGCATAATTTATCATTGCTCATCATCATATGAATGTAATAATACTCCACTCTCGACATCTGATTTTTATAGTTATGTCATCTCATGTGATTTGTTTTTACTGGGAGTAAGTGTTGCGTCATTTCTGTTACATTTACTCAGGGATAGTTTTTGTCGGCTAGCTTAAGAATCCAATAGATCCAATTAAGTAAAATAATCTGATCTACTAAATTCCATGTGATGACTCCGAGCTCAAGTACACAGGTCAAACCAGACGATTGGGGTCAGTTAGAATAGTCGACTGAACATAAGAATTTAGCCAAATGTAGAATGATTAACCCGAATAAGTTCAGCAATCTAGAAGAACACCTGGCTATTACAATGCTCATGCATTAAGACAACAACACAATTGGATGGGATAAAACCACTGTACTCAACTCCAATATAATTAGGTCAAGAAGGAGAGAGATTAATTACTAAATCTTTGTTCATCAAATCGACAGAACCTAACACATGTGGAATAGAAATGACACAACACCCACCTATACCAGAGATATGGAAACTTTTACCACCAATAGAAACAAAGAATAGTAGGTGACAGGACTATTTAAAATTAGATGTTGAAAGTGGTATGATTACATTGATATGATGATGTGCAATGATAATTTCCGCTCGAAACGTTATCAAGTAACACTCACTGTGTGTTATAAATCAAATGTGGAGTTCAAGAACCATGGTGATTAAAACAAAATATGTAAATCTTTATTTAACCTTCAACCAACTATTGTCTATAGATGACTCGTTCACTTACTTGATTTGTCAAAATATTCAAATTAAGCGCAGATAAAAGTCCAACCATAATATTCGCTGTTAAAGCAACAGCAACAGATATTCTATGATTTACTATTGAGATGAAAAAACAAGAGAAAAAAACATTTTAAACAGGCAAGTATCTTGATAAAAATAAAAATAACGAGGTATTGTATCCAAAGAGAACAAAGCATAATTGAAAGAACTACTAAACAACAAGGATATTATATAAAGCAACTGGTCCCTTTGATAAATTTAAACAGCGTAATGAGAAGACGAAGATTATCTGAAACATGTAATGTATTAGCGCTATACTTTTACTATATATATCATATATATTATATATTATGTTATATATATTATACATATGTATTATATATATTATATTATATATTATTATATATTATATTATATATATTATATTATTATATTATATTATTATATTATACCATATTATCATATTATTATGTATATATATATATTATATATTATTATATATATTGTATATATTATATATATATATATATATATATATATATATTATATATATACTACATATATTATACTTGTACGCCCAGATAAAGGATCTGGTATCATGGTTTTAGATCGGTCGAATTATATTGATAAACTATGCCTAATTCTCAGCAATGATAATAAATTTCTAAAGTCCAGAGATTAGAAGGATAGAACAGATGATATCGAAAATCAAATATCTAGCAGCCTAGATCATCTGGTTCAAATACCCCTCTTTTATATGGTCTGCTGAAGGTACAAAAAGATGATGTTCCACTTCGCCTAGTATTTAATAGGCTCATTGGTGAAGTGGCTTGCGAAAATACTTGAATCGGTGAGATCAAATTTGTGTAAAAATGGTCCTCCCGATTAATTTGGTTTTGTTCGATCCATCGAAGAAATCAATGTAACGAGTAAGTTTATGATATTGCTTGATGTTTGTTCCTTATTTACCGGTGTTCCACTTGTTAAAACCATCTGTAATCTTTGTGATTACATTGGTTTTAATAATACTAACAGTGGACTACTCATGAGCCATCTAAAACGACTGATATTATCAGATTTGATAATATGACTTCTAATCAAACGGATGGAGTTGCAACGGCCCCCTCCTCCTAAGCCCTGTCCAGGCTGATATCTTTATGACAAAGCTCGAAAATAGGCCACTTAAAGAAATAATCTCCAAACTTTATTTGTTTAAAAAGTACACTGACGATACTTTTCTTAGTAGTGACGAAGCATGTTCAGTGAACCAGCTGCTAGGATGTTTCAATTGTCACCCGTTCATTGAATTCACTTTCTAAACGTAATGTTAAGGAGAGGGTATGATGGCTCGATTCAAAAGTTAGTCTACGAAAAATCAACTTGGATTAGCCAGACCACTAGTTATAATAGTTGTGTACCTTTTAGTTGTGAAAGAAATCTTATCCCCTCGGTATGTTCCAGAATCTATAAAATATGTTCAGAAGATATGGTAGATGCTGAAAACGAAGTTCTTAAAACAACATTAGCGAATAAAGGATACCCTTAAGGATTTATTGATAAGAATCTGAAGAAACGAACCACTCCCCCATCCCATTGCAGTTTCTAAAGAGAATTCAAAGAAGACACCACAGCTAAAAAGCTGAAAAATCGTCTGTCAGGATGTATCAATAGTAGCTTTTATGCTGCCATAATGAGATTGATATTCTCCAGCCGCCGTCTGATTCGACAATGCGTGAACGATAGGCTTCCAATTATGTCCATATCTATGTATATCTACAAGTTCACTTGCTCCTGTGGAGCTGACTATATTGGAAATTGTGAGCGGGCTCTCTGAAAACGTGTCCGTGAGTACTACCCGGTTTGGCTTACCAGAAGTGAATAAAGCAAAACGACTTCATTCATATGTGAACACCTCATTGAATTAGGTTACTCAGCATCCACCTTTTAAAATAATTTACAAAGTTAAATTGAACTACTCAAAAGGTATACGTTTCCACCATTTATGCATAGCTGAAGCATTTAGCTATACATGAACAAAAGCCAAAACTTTGCATTGAAAAACATTTTGTGAAACCACTTTCTCTACATTGGCCTTAACAATTCATTTTGCTGACTTTGTCAACTTCACTTTGGTGTACTTCCCTTCTGTTATCATCACCATTATCACCAATTTTCACTTCATTGACAACATTTGACCCATATTTCACTCTTTAATATCAATTCATTCCTTATTCATTGACCTATTGTACACGCTTCAGCTTAATTATCATCGTTTTTCAATACTTTGACAACACGTGTCTCTTATCTCACTACTTATTATCAATTCCTTCCTCCTTATTCAAGTGAACCATTTTCTATTTCTTCCACTTGAATAAATACCATCACCTACACTGATTGTATATTTTACATATTGACTGAGCAACTGTTTTCAGTGCAATTATCTATCACTTTACCGAGTATAAATACGACTGCTGTACAGTTTGATAATGAAATCGTTGAAAAGAAATATATCCTCTTCGCTGATATATGTCTTGTTCTTATTCATAAAAAAATAGATTCCAAGTTATACACTTTTTTGTTAATAAATCTTCATTTTACCCGAAAAAGCCTAGTTCTAGTCATTGAGACGATTTATTTGACCAAGATTTCGTGCTTGTCCACACTCATTCGCAAGGTACACCTGATAAATCAACACTTAGACTGCAGACAAAACCACTCAGCCATTCGGGCCAGCATATTATATTAAGTTAAAAACAATAGTTCAAACCTACCACTGAAAGTATTTAAAAAACGCATACTTCATAGTTCTGTAAGTTATTGAAAGGAAGAAAGGACTCATTACAGATGAAAAATTCAGTGAATGTGTGGATGCCGCAAACAGATTGAAGACAAAATAACTGACGGATACTATGAACTCTGTCCAGTAAATGTCTTCTTAGGTTTCTTAAGGTAATACTCAATACGGACTGACATCAGGTGGAAAAACAGTGAAAACCTGGGAGCACTGGACATCTGCTTCACCTTAGTATGGGACCGTTCAGCAGCACGATCTCACGACCACTACAGAGACCGATCCCGAGAGTATTAGGTTTCATGGCGAACGCAGTTTCCTACTTCTGTCGATTTGTAATGTAGCCCGACTATCACCCATGGTTGACATTCTCTGCCCTCCGGAACAGGTCACAAATCAGAAATATATCATCCACACAAAGGTTACTTATCATACTTATGAATATTTCAGTCATAGTTCACAGTGATCAACAAAGATTATGTGAGGGTTACCTGTAGATGTTTAAGACTCATGACAAACAGCAGAATAATTTTCGTGCAGGGAAAATATCAGTTTCGCAATCCAACCAAAATGGTATAACCTAATAACTTTCTAAATAAATCAACTATCTCACAGCTTTTGGTGAGCATGGTTGCTGTCTCCCTTTAGCTTTGCAAATTAGTATTCTTCAGTCATTTTGAACAGGATCTGAGCTGGACGATCGACATACCCAGGTCCACACAAGTAGGTGAACTGATCGACTCATATAGAAATGGCCAGATGCGAGATCTTGTTTTTTAGGCTTTTGCTGCGTGAAAAGCGCCAAGAGAATGTTACTGTAATAGTTACTACTAAGAACCTTCTTCTTATATGGCTTGAATTCCTTCCTTACTTTAGGATGTCAGCAGTTAGATCACATAGCACATAACATCTTTCCCGATACGAAAACTAAATCATTTCTTGTGGGTTTTAGAATATGCATCTCTTCTTTTATAGAGCCTGGGAAGACACGATCTTGCACTTGGCTACCACTATAAGTCATACTAGTTCATCTGCTTGTGTAGAGTTGGATATATATTGGCTGTTCGACGTGATTGTTGTTTATCTTACACCTGGAATTCAAATTGATAGTAATACCATACTTTCCAAACTGAGAGTGATTGCATCTGTTCATAGCAAAGCACGCAATACTTATTAAGTAAAGCTTTATTTCTGATCGTCATAGAATAGTGTTCCTTTGATAACACCTAAAAAGTTTGTTTAGTGTGTATAAAATGTATATAATTCATGCGTATTCGGTTATATAATTTGTCAAGACACCCAACTTTCACTATTTCTAGATTGATATTCATCATTGATTGAAATCAGTTGGAGAAATATTTGAAGCCTAGGACGGAACTCCTCAAAAATGCTTACCCATAGACCCGGCAGAAACTTAACACAAGACTTTTGAGGTCCACGGCCAGCACATTGACCCACTGGATCATAATTAACTGGCTCATTTTTCCTACTTCTTTCAGTTCACGAGGCTTCGTGACCTCCATCTAATACTGTTGTTGAGTATCTTTACTCACGTTCTATTTGACTGGCCCCATCGATCAAGATTTCTCATTACAACTTCTTAAATTACCTTTTCAAGCAAGTCACCATTTTGTTTTGATAAGTAGGTCAGAGTACATTTGGGATGGGTTCTTTTTCCTTTAGTTACTTTCGGAATCTTCAGAAATTTCGGTTAACTTTGAAAAAAAATCTCTTTAGAACAATCAGTATGCATACCTTTCAGTTACCTAAATTTCACTCTGTTTAGTATTTGTATAGTTTTCATAGCATTGCTAGAGATTGTACGATCCATAAGGTACAAGATACTTGGAAAATTACGAACTGAATTCCCATTTTTCAGCCTAAATCTTTGATCATTTGATATCAATAAAGAGATTGCCACTTTTTTGACAGTAGTTATTGCTTTTTTGATTTTCTTTCCCATCGTCTATAAAACATCTAGGCAACGTAAATCTCCTGTTATTTTCGTCTAGAAATGTTTCAGTAACCTACATGACTGGTCTTGATATTCCCAACCCATAGCTGCTACCATAATGTGATGATCAAGATTGTACATTACAATAACCCAAAAAGTCAAGTTGGTTGAAGCATTTGTTCTTTGAAGTCCTACTATGCTAGAAAGGCCTCTTGGATAATGATACGACAGAAAGCAGTTACCATTATATTGCAAAAGCTACTATATCATGGGAATCAGAGAGCGAAGTCATACTGCTGGCTGGAAAGGGGTTTAGGTAGCAGTGAGATATTTTTTTGCGAATGACCAGAAGAATCACGATGTTGCTGCCTTCCTTAATGAAAGGATTATTACAGTATCGTGACTTTAAACCCAGGCACACTCCCTCTACCTTGCGGTACTCCAGTGTCACTGATATGCACTTTCCCGGTTAATGCAAACTCCACGGCCATTCCTCCTAATCTTTTGGAAATAGGTATAACAGCGTGCCATGGTAAAAAATGCACTTTTCGACTGGATCCCCAGTTAACAGTTGCCTATGTGCTGTTTTACTGAACGGTGCAATAAGAACCTAAAAAAATAGCAAACTCGCTATTGTCTCTTTGTAATCTTTGATCGCGGGTCTACTCACTCCAGTCTGAATGAAGTAAACGATGAGACCTATCAAAAACCATCCAGCCTCCTTCTGAAAACTAAATGTTTAAATTGGGCTTGCCTTTAGGTGATTTCAGTGCACAGATAGGTAGGCAGTGTCAGACAGAAAGATAATTAGGGAGCACTCTCCGAGTCCCAGCCAAATGAACAGATAACTTCGGACGTCTCAACTGTGTTCAGACGATCATTTATTTCTGACCTGGAATTCCCCGATTTCAACTTAAGGGTGGATACAGATACACCGTATTACTATCAAAAGTTTCTGGAGAGGATCGGTGGGAGACTGTAGCTCCTTCTGGAGTATGTTTTTGGACATCGATCATGCTCTGGTTCCAGCACGCAAATATGTGCACCTAAAGTGATGTAGAAAAAATACAGCGCAAGACCATTCCGAGTGCAGCTAGAAGACAAAACGCTGAGGCTGCCTTCATTGAGGAACTGAAAAAATAGTTATCCGAACTCATCCAACAGAAATCTGGCACCGTTTGCAGTTTACTACGAAAACAGCTTTAAAGGCCATAGCTGACTGTTAGAAAGAGGTTAAAAAGGGTCAGTGAGTCTCTACAGGTTCTTCGAAATTAGTGAATGAGAATGAAGGCATTCTTTCAGGCTCCAATCACAGTGAGAAGTGGAAGCATTTCAAATATAGACTGACAAAGAGTTCACAGAATGACCATAAAAAGTAGTAGACAGCGAAGGTTACAGAGATGAGAGAGGTTGTGATGGTAGGCAACAGATCAAAAAAACGGTGCGAAAATGTTAATGGTCAATGAAACTATGGCGAAGAAGGAAGGATCCACGATCCACTTCCAGAAAAACGATTGAAACGATGGGCAGATCACTGCCAGAAACATTTCAGCTGGCCTCCACCTAATATTTTATTGCTTACTGTTCAGTTGGATATTAATTGGAACTCTAAGTTGGTACCTCTATATCTTGCAGGATTTGAGAGGTGTGTAAGTAACCTGAAACGAGGAATAGCTGCGGGATCAAAAGGCCTAATACCGTAGGTATTTACAAACGGTGTATGTTGATTTTTGGTCAGGTTATATAGCATATTGGAGTCGGATATGATATAACCCTCACTAGCCCTAACATTCATTTTTCCAGTATTAAAGAAAGGGAAAGCGTCGTGTCACGATAATCATATGGAAATTAGCCTGGTGTCAAAGTTCTGTAATGATTAGACGTCTAAGTAGAGCTCGAGAACAGTAAACTTTTGAAAACTACGCATTTTTAAACGTTGTTGTGAATGCATTGACCAAGTTTTTGCCCTCAATCATGTTCTGAAAAAAGAGACACTTGCCGACGCTCGACATCGGCTGTATTTATCAACCTGAAAGTGGAATTCAACACCGTCAACTGAAAGGACTTACGGCAGAGTTTCTCACTAGGAGTAAATCCAAGTAAGTTCATCACTTGGTTGAAGTCTCTGCACTGGAACACCCATGGGTGTGTAAGAACCTATGGCGAGTTGCTTACACTGAATGCTGTCCATCAAGGATATTCACTGCCGTTGTTCTCATCCAACTTTGTCGCAGACGTGCTTGTCGAGGTCTTCTTTTGACTTTAGAGAAACTTATCTTGTCAGAGAAAGCTCGTTAGTAGTAAACAGAGGGTATACTTCAATTACTTGAAGATGCTGACAAAATGAATTCTTCAGTACACCTCAAGCGACATTTTAAGCATGTTTGAGATGCGTTTCTCTTCATCCAAATACAAATTGTTGATCTAGGACTTGTTTGTGTTAGCACCGTGTCTAATGATGGTAGGTTAAATGGTGCAGCATACTGACCAATTTACCTACTTGGTAAACGAGGTTAGCCCTGGAGGGTACACGATCAAAGAAATCCCTGCATGGATACAAATGGATCGATTACCCTTTGTCAGCTTACACCGTATATGCCACTTGTGTGGTATCCAAAAGCATATCGAAGGGCCAATTGTACTACACTCCGGCTACCTTATTCTAGCATATGGCTTCAAAAAACAGCCATAAGAAGGGGAGGACATGAGGATGCCCTAGGTGTCTTACTACTGTTGCGTTCATAGGATGAGCCAAGTGTCATGATATGACCACTTCAGTAGCTTTAGGTAGAAGGGGAAGAATATTTGTTTTGGTTGGGAACCTTCGTTGACTCAGGCGGCGAGGGCACCTGTTACACATGCCTAGTCAATAACTACCTGAAGTAGGTTCAAACTGGAGAAAGATTACAGATAGTCAGGCTAAAACATGGCATCAGCTCATGAATTCGCCGACTGTTGGTCTCAGTTGTGTACGAGGTCCATATGACAACCTAAATCAGTGGTTGGAGACTCTGTATGATATGGCTCAGAACTGATCTTTGTGCAGCAGATTTATTCATACAATCTTGTCTCATTCCTCCTCGTTCTCTTTTCCCGATTTCCTACCACTTCTGACTACTTCCTTTGTTACAATATTAATGGTCACCGGCTAGCGTTATCTCTGCAGAGATTGTGTAAATACCGAAGTGAGTATTGAAATATCGCAAGAAGTTTAAGGTTTCTCCTGCAAGCGTCGCTGTGGTATGAAGAAAGATCCAGCATTTCCAGTGAAGAAAGCATCTCACAGTTTTACTCAGAAGTATTCGAGAAAGTAGTAACAAACAGGATGATTTTTCCAGATCTTTTTAAGCCGTTTTTTGAATAGTTTTTTGAATGGTTCAAAATCAAGTCATTACACATGGTCTCTAAAACAATTAATAGACGTGTGGACTGACGAGTTTACAAGCAGTTACTGGGGAATTCGAAGTCTGTTAGTACAGAAACTCTAGCACTCTACTTTCACTAACCATTCAAATCATATTACTTCATAGAGAAGTGTTTTCATGTTAACAACTTCAGTCTATCAATTGGAAAGGAATTTTGAGGGAGTTGTGGAGATTTGGAAATATTTCAACTTGTTATTCATCGTAGACTGACATCAGCTGAAGGAACAAAGGAAAGCTGGGAGCACTGCACAGCCATTTCGTCCGACTAGTATGGGACTCAGCAGTGCGCACCCACGACCCTCAGGTTCCGTGGCCATCACGTTACCCTTGAGCCACTAAGTCAGAATCCAATCGTCCATATTTCCAACTTCTGTTAGCTCACGATATATAGCGCAACCGCCACCCGATGTTGAGTAACTGTCGTCACGACCATCAGGCTTTTCTCCCACCGGTCACGACTTCTCACTGGAACTTGGGGAATACCTCTCAAAACTAGTCACCAATGAACACCAGGTCAATTAAGAACAGTTACTCAACAATAACATTGGGTGGCTGTTGCGCTATATCGTGAGCTAACAGAAGTTGGAAATATAGACTACTGGATTCTAACCCAGTGGCTGAATGGTAACGTGCTTGGTCACGGAACCTGGAGGACTGCGGTTCGATCGCTGGCGGGTCGTGGCTGCATATTGGTAAGGAGTCCTATACTAGGACGAAACAGCTGTCCAGTGCTCCCAGGTTTCCTTTGTTCCTCCAACTGATGTCAGTCTATGATGAATAACAACTTGAAAAGGAATTATTTACCAAAAAAACATTAACATTTTTCATCTTACATCCGGTATCATCCAGAACCATAGTGTAGACTTGAAGATCGGAAATTGTAGTGCTTAATCCAGCAACAGTAAGGCAGATGAAGAATAATGTACACAGTACTCTGCCGAATACTCCCAAACTTTCGAATAGAACTGGAAACCTGTAGAATCAATTCCAAATTTTAAAAACTTCATTTTATGCATCTTACTCAAATCACAGTTAAGATAGTAATTTGAAGAAGTTTAATTGTATACAGTACATTTGCAGAAGTATCTTTAACATCAAAGGGAACTTTTTATTGTTGTTCGCAGTATACCATTTTGGACTGGATAGATGAGACCGGTCTCTTTTGGCAAATGAGCTCTTGCACCCTAATGACTGGTGCAGCAAAAATAACCATAATTAACATTTAGGCAATATTGAGGCATCCGCAGGCGAGCCCATATACCAGTAGAGGTCGAACAATTAGACCCTATAAATGACGGAGAATTTAGCAATTCAAATTTAGGCTACTGAATCATTGTAAGTAGTAAAAACTGAATCAGAGTGTTGACAAAAAATGTAACCTCTATCCTACGTAATCTAGGTAGTCTTGACTAAGCTTTTCTTACTACTGGATTTAAACGGGTCCATCAAGTTTCCTGAGAAGTGCGAAATAAATACCAGGGATTTTTGTATGCACTGCATTTCAAAATCACGCTGAAACGTTTAACTCGAATATCCTCTATAAAGAATTACCATTTCCAAGTTGTTATTCATCGTAGACTGACATCTGTTGGAGGAACAAAGGAAACCTGGGAGCACTGGACAGCTGTTTCGTCTGACTAGTACGGGACTCCTCAGCAGTGCGCACCCACGACCCCACCAGCAGGGATCGAACCCGCTACTTTCAGGTTCCGCGGCTGGCGCGTTACCACTGGACCCTTGGGTCAGGACCCAATGCTCCATATTTCCAACTTCTGTTAGCTCACGATATAGCGCAACCGCCACCCAATGTCATCGCTGAGTATCTGTCCTCATGGCCATCAGGCTTTGACTCAACGGATCACGACTTCTCACTGGAACTTCGGGAATACTTCTCGAAGCTAGTCACCAATGAGCACCAGTTCAATTAAATTTTGAGGGAGCTAACAGAAGTTGGAAATATGGAGCGCCAGATTCCGACCCAGTGGCTCAATGGTAACGCGCTGGCCGCGGAACCTGAAGGTGGCGTATTCGATTCCTGCTGGTGGGGTCGCGGATGCGCACTGCTGAGGAGTCCCATACTAGGAAGAAACAGCTATCCAGTGCTCCCAGGTTTCTTTTGTTCCTCCAGCTCATGTCAGTCTACGATGAATAACAACTTGAAATAATTCCAAATCTCCACAACTCCCTCAAAATTACCATTTTCTTCAATTTAGGTTGTTATGGGAATTCATTCATTGATTTCACTTAGGTATTCATCACAGAATGACGTAAGTTGGAGGATGATTGATAACTTACGAAAACTGGACAACTGTTTCGTCCCAGCGTGAGACTCCCTGGTGGTGTGTACCCATGACTGTGCTAGGAAACGACTACGGAACGGGACGTTACCATTGAACAACTAGGTCAAAAGCCAATCATTCATATTTTATTCCTTTTCTGAGGTCTTGTTATAGCACGATTTTCATCCACTGAAGTCATTGAGCACCTGTCCTAACATCCAGCTTAGTTCGTCCGACCGGTCACAACATCTCGTTAAGACTTCAGTAAATCTCACCTCGAAGCTTGTCATTAATGAGTACTAGATAATAATTCAATTTGGACATTTAAACTGGTTAAATAGACTTTTCAATCAAACAGACTAAGTTTGATCTCTCATAATCTGTTATAATATATTTCAAGGAGAATTTCTATCAATTACTAGAAGGTTAAAAACTGAAACTACATCTTAACAATTATTGATTTATTATTTTTTTTCTCTTGGGTTCCTAATGGAACATATATAGCTTTAGTACCAAGTCTCCATCCCACTCTCTTCTCTGCAGTCTTTTCGACCTGGCGCCACCACTGCCCACAAGCTTACATTTCTTCCTCACATCATCTCCTCCATATCGCCCTCGCCTCGGATACCCAACTCGTCGTTTCTCATTTTGATTCCACTCGATGGCCTGGTGCGTAATGTCCCCGGCCAGCCTTCTTATTGCATGCCCAATCCATCTCTACTTCCTTCCGCATATTTGTTCGGCGATGGGTTCTTGGTTGGTTTTTTCCCCGAGTTCTTTGTTGCTTATTCTTATTGTTCTGGCCATCTGCGCTTCAGCAACGGTCGTAGGCAGTTTTTGATGAATATCTGTAATTTGTTGGAAATGCTTTTCGTGATGCTCTAAGTTTCTGAACCATATGCAGCACTGATTTGACATTGGTGTTGAAAATCTGGATGTTGTTCACGCTTTATGATGAATGCAGTGGAGTGCAGTAAATCTCCACAGTGATTTCAGAATAATGAAAGCCTGTCTTACTGTCTTTCCGATCCTGTCTACTTTGACATCTTTGTCTGTGCCGCGTGTAGTTGAAACGATGCTGTATTGCGTAGGCAGGTATGGGTGAAAGAGACTACTTCCTTTAAGTTTCTCCCGTTGATGGTGATTGGTGCTTGTTGTTGATGCTGTTTTTGGTCGGGTATCACTAATTATTGATATATGCAGTAATTCTCTGTTGTTTTATTGGATTGAATTGTTCGACCTCTATTGTCATATGGGCTGCTACGCAGATGCCTCAATATTACCTGGATAGGATGTAACGCACGTCCTGGATTCTTCTGCCAACCACAACCAAGTGAATTATCATAAGATTACTTCAATAGAATTTCTCTTCAAAACGTAGCTTGGTGTATATATGTTATTCTTATTCGTCAAAGTTACGAAACTGCCAATGTTTTATCATGCTTACTTATTCTGTTGACAATTTATTCCATAAATCAGCATGACTTAGGGAAAAGTGTATAGAAATCAGTTAAACGTATGTGACAGGAAATACTGAATATGTTTTGATGCTAAGTGGTTTATTCTAAGGGAATATGCTTGGAATGTGTACAAAAAACGTCGAGGGAAAGTCAATTTTTCAAAGCATACATTCTAGCAGAAATTTCGTTTGGAAATCATCCATATAAAATGATAGTGTTTATAGGACAGAAGTCAGAAAGAAAGCTACCGAAACATTGTTCTAGCCACCTTTTAATTACCTACAAGTGAGATAGTTTAAATGATTAAACATGCTCATTATAAACACTACGAAGGATAATTATTAACCATTTGCGCTTCTTTTATCATTAAGAAATTCGTACGAAAAACGAAAAAATAACAATAACAGGAGTACGAATAATAACGACAATACAAGTAGAAAGGAGTTCGTAGCCTCCACTATGTTACCCTATAAAGAAGATACATTAGAAACTTTATGTAAGATCCGCAATAAAGGTGGAATAAGGGTCACATTTAAACTTACAAACTCACAGACAAACTTTGTCGCCTGGCTTAAGGATCCAATAGAACTAATTCAGTAAAGTAATCAAACCTATCACTGTGAGGTCAAGTACATAGGTCAAACCAGACGATGAGAGTTAGTTATAATAGCGGAACATAGGAATTCAGACAAATGTAGAATGATTAACCCGAATAAGTTCAGTTATCTAGAAGAACACCCGGCCATTACAATGCTCATGCATTAAGACAACAACACAATTGGATGGGATAAAACCACTGTACTCAACTCCAATATAATTAGGTCAAGAAGGAGAGAGATTAATTACTGAATCTTTGTTCATCGAATCAGCAGAACCTAACACATGTGGAATAGAAATGACACAACACCCACCTATACCAGAAATATGGAAACTTTTACCACCAATAGAAACAAAGAATAATAGGTGACAGGACTAATTAAAATTATATGTTGAAAGTGGTATGATTACATTGATATGATGATGAGCAATGATAATTTTTGCTCGAAACGTTATCAAGTAAATAATACTAGATCACTACTGTGTGTTATAAATCAAATAAACAAATTTAATATGGAAGTAAATTCTACCACAGTGCCCACGTTTTACTCCTAATGGTTTTGATGAAAATTTGTGATCCTTAAACTACTTATAAATAGTCAATTTTTTTAAACGAATAGAATGACTAATGTATTTTTGAGATGAATGGGGATTTTTAACGTAGAATTAGTATTCATCATGGACTGACATCAGTTGGGGAACCATGGAAAATCTGGGAGCACTGGACAGCTGTTTTGTCCTAGCATGGGAATCCTCAGTAGTACGCACCCACCACCCGGCTAGGGATCGAACTCAGAACGTTCAGGTTTCACGGAGAACGCGTTAACCATTCAGCCACTGGGTCAGTCTCTAGTGTTCAACAGTTTCCAACTTCTGTCAATTCATGATAACATAACGCGACTGTCACACATTTGTTCTCATTCAACAGTTTTCTAGCTAAGTTCAGAGATAGGAATATGGTTATTGAAATGGATTCATTACTTACTATTTTGATCCAACCTTATCTTTGTACAATATTTACAACTAAATTCACATAATGCATTAATGCTAAGGAAAAACTACTTACCAAATAAATGTTAGACCAGTGCTACCTGGTCCTGTTGCTTGCATTAGTTTTACAATTCCTAGACGTGTTATTGTCGGTGTTGTTTGTATTAGTGTGGAAAATACAGTGGAAAAAACTGCAATCGAACTTATGAAGCTAAAAAAACAAACAAGCAAACAACAGTACAAAATGAGATTAGTACAATGTTTGAGAAGAAGTCGGAAAAAAATAAGTTTTACTCACAAATGAATACTACTTAAAGTAAGATAAAAGAAATTTCTGGTTCAAATGTAAAATCAAAGAGTTTTGCTGATTACTGATTAATTTAGATATTAAAATGACAGATACTAGCTAGTATGAGAATCCAAATACAAGTTTCGTCCCATTTGTGACTCGTCAGACAGTTGTGCCTGTCTCACAGTGAATAATGTTGTTCTCACTAAGACTTGACCATGGGACTAGTTACCTTACATAGTACCTCATTATCTACTAAGCCACTGAGTCATGACAGTCACTCCTTGTGTGCACATCATGGATTTCGCAGTTAGCCACTATCCATCATTATTACGGAAAATGAAGATACCAGCAATATTGAAACATCTGTACACGAGCCTATATGCCAATAATAACCGAATAGTTCTGTTACGTCGACGATAGAAAAATTAGAAGCTGTAATATCCAAAGAAATGGCCAGAAAGAATAAGCAACAAGGAACTCTGGCAATGAACCAACCAAGAACCTATCGCTAAACAAATATGCAGAAGGAAGTAGAAATGGATTGGGCATACAGTGAGAAAGTTGACTGGGGACATCACGTGCCAGGCCCTCAAGTAGAACACAGATGGGAAGCGACAAGTTGGGTGTCCCAGCTGAGGGTGACATGGAGGAGATCGTTAGAGGAGGGAATGAGAGCTTCTTGGCAGTGGTGGAGCCAAGTTCAAAAGTTTGCAGAGAATACAGTGGAATGGAGACGTGCTAGTGAAGACGTATGTTCTATTAGGAACCCAAGGGACAAATAATAATAATAATAACATCCAAAGAATGAATACTGAGTTATTGAGGATAAAGATCATATGTTGAAAATCTCATTTATTTCACACTGTAATATTGTTCTGAATCTAAGAATATATTGTGTTTTAGATGGTATACTAATTCTCAAAGTCTAAGAGATAAGTTCAATCTAAACTGGGTTGTGTAGTACTAAAAAGCCTAGAAAATGATTGTAATTTAACTGCCTGAACTCAATGATGAACATCTTTATCAAGCGCGATATCTTGAAGACAATGAAAGTGTGGTAAGATGTTCGGTGGAACATATATATATATATATATATGTATATATTTATCAGTGGAGCGCATTCAATTTCATGTTGTTTAGTCCTAAGCGCTGACCGATTTCTGCCGATCCACCTAGGTTTCGCACTTTTTGGCACTCGTTAGTAACCATGCGAAAACTGATATCTTTTGAGATTCAATGCTAAGTCACCCACTTTTGTAATCAGCTATGTAACCACTGATCTATTGAAGCCGTGATTGACCTCCTGTAGAACTGGATTTTGTACACGCCGACAAGTGCGGAACTTAAGTGCAAAACTTCCTATTGATTACCTCCGACCTTTTATTTAATTTCGTTCCACTAGCTTTAAAAACAATTAGGTTTCCTCACGAATTTCGACAAAATAAAAAGAAGATATATGTTACACGTAATGTATCATCAAGGTTATTTTGACTGCTTATAAGAGAACCAAACCTTGCAATGGTTAGAGCTTTGATAATCTCAGGAATATACGGTGAATAAGTTTTATAGATAAGCTTGAAACATGTGTATAAGTTAACCTTATGAAAGGTCTCAGTGATGTGTTAAACCTTCGATGAATCTACATATAGACAGGCTTAGTCAATATAGTCATTCGGTTCTCATTTTTCCTTGTCATGGTCAGTTTTATTGTTATCCGTGGTTTTTACTTGTATAGATAGGTGGACTGTCTCACTTAATCGTAATTGTAAAGGTAAACATTCTTCAACTATATCGAGTGCTCATACTATCTTGTGTTCAAAGATCATCTATTTTCAGTCTATGTTATGTACTCAGTTTCAGGTTAGTAGTATTTCTCAAGAAAATCTTCAAATGATAATGCATGAAAGATAACAAATTGAGTGACTTGTCTACTGTCCTATTCCTCCTTAATCTTCTTTGATTGATTTTTACTAAAACTGACTCATGATGAATTAATTTCGATCTAACGGTTCTATTTTGAAGGGATTCTGGCCAACAATGGACTGGATGGTTTGAAAAATGGTGGTATAGATAGACGTGAATCAGTTTTCTCAACTATTTTTAACAAATTTCTTTTGAACAATGAACATGTTCAATATTTGAACTTCATACGTTTATGCTAAAAAAAAAATTATTAAGTAGGAATCAGAATATAAAATGTAAAGCCAGAGCTAGAGAAAGATACTACTAATAAACGACTTGAGTAGTTGAACTATAGACCTCACCAGCTAGATTGAAGTGATCTAAACACTAGACTGGTGTTCCGCTTATTTGGAGCCGAATTCATTCGATCAGCCTGCAAGTTGATAATTCAAGTCACAAGGATCTTTGATCTCACGTAGATTATTGGTTTGAATCCTGCTACGAACTAACTGTTTACTTCATCTTCATCTATCACTTAGTAGGAATGAATTATTGTCTTCTAATATTTTATAGCGGTATTCCATCTTTGACACCAATGAGGGACAGTGGAATTCACAACGCACGTTTCACCTTGTTCCGAACTCGTCAGCCAGATGTACTCGCCTCCATGTGAGTAATATCTTTCCCGCTACGACTTGAACACAGTATCGATCACTTCAAACGCCAGAGCGCTATCCACTAGACCACTGCCTCACCATAGACACTCCTTGTGAGACAGGTATTACATAGTTTTCTTGATCAGGTATCATTATTTATCACTGATATCAGATTTGAAAATATCACCAATATTAAGGCATTCCCACAGGAGCCCATATACCAACCAGTCACCAATCAATTCGGTCCAGTTAACAATCAAGCATATTAATAAGGTTATAGAAGAAAAGAATGTTACTCACCTCACTAAATTATTCATCATAGGGATAGTTGTGCCGTATCTAACAGCACCACGTTCTCTGCCCATAAATGCTGCATATGTAGCTAATGCCCCGATACCAGCTCCTGTATCGAAAGCATTTTGGCTTGCTGCAGCAATCCACATTTCTGGCTTTTTAAAACTGCCTACATAAAATAATAAACAACTGTTCAATTAACGTATCATAATAAAAATTTTAGGGATATTTGGAGTGAAATAACTCCCCGTGATCATAACAGAAGTTGGAATTTTTCTTTCATACAGTGATCAATAGATATCATACTGTTCTTTGTCATTCTGTTTCGTTAACACAATGTTCAATATGGTTGACAGTTTTGTTTCAGCAAGTGGTGTTAAAAATGTTATAACTTGGAGGTCCGTTACATGCTATGGCCAATAATGATGGACAGATATCGACTGTCAGCAACCAACATTCAACAAATTCCCAGTTGATTCCCGACCTGACTAATTAGTGGAGAAGACACAATGGATGTGTAGAAACGTGTATTGGGGTTGGAAGATCGAAGCCTAAAGAGGGGAAATACAGCTAACATATGGATGGCTCACTGCTTAAAAAAATAATATTGGTTGGCTGATCCAGCATCTATCTGTCTGACTGTAGACGTGAAACCTTAATTGATTGGTCCCTCCCCAGACTACAGTTTTCTCTCTATCCCCACATCGAGATCAATAACAATAGTAATGATGGATAGTGGCTAGCAGTGGAATCCAGTATGCGCATTTCGTCTGATTATGGACTCATCATTTGAATGTAACTGCTTCCCGGTGACTGATGTTGTTCCCTAGTTTGAATCCCGGTGGGAACAACATCATCCACCAGGAAGTAGGTACATCCAGCTGACGAGTCCCAAATAGGACGAAACGCACATCCTGGATTCCACTGCTAACCACTATCCATCATTACTATCATTAGAGCACAGGTAGTATCGAGGCATCCGCACAGGAGCCTATATGTCAATAGAGACAGACCAATTCGGTCCAATCAACGATGGTATCATACAAAAACAATTATACTAAAGTCAAAAACAATGTTTTGTGCAAAACTAGGGCCTCACAAAAAAAATTATGCAAACAACTAATCTGATAAACAATTGTGATCCTCCATTTTTTGAAAAACTGGTATCTCAGCCTAAATATGAAACCTGATTGTTTATTCCATTAGTTGCTGTGATTGCCTTTAAAGTCACTCTTTTACATCAGCTTTATTGTATGTGTTAGAAGTTACATGTATAAACATCGAGCCGCATCATCCTGGAGAGACTAAAGGATGCACTGAATTCAAAACTATGAACGGAACAGGCTGACTGCATTCAGGAAGTACAAATCATGTGTGGACCAAATTGAAACGCCACGCTACTCATCATCATAGAACAGAGTGTAGAATGGCAGTCAACTCTATACCTCACCTCAACTTCATCGACTTTGAGAATGCCATGGACAGCGTCGACCGACAAGTAATTTGGCAGGCAGTTGGTTCAACACTAGAGAATACCACAAACCTTTATCAACCTCATTCAACAAGTATATGAAGACGCCACATGCCAAGTAATTCATGATGGGAAGCTCAGTGATGCTTTTGAAGTGAAGACAGGAGTGAAACAAGGTTGCCTACTATCACCCATGATATTCCTGATGGTAGTGGACTGGATCATGCAGCAAACAGTGAGGAGCGAGAAGTGGGGGATACACTGTTTGACCGGGGAAAGGATCCTAGAAAATTTGGATTACGCTGATGAATTATGTCTAATGTCACACAAACTTGAAGATCTAAAGGCGAAAACTAACAAGTTGACAGGAGAGGTGGGGTAGCGAAGACAGGACTTCAAGTAAACATAGAAAAGACAGAGGTGATGAAGATACCCAACTAACACTACCACCACCAACAACAACAAGCTCCAATCACCATCAACAGGAGAAGTGTGAGGGAAGTACTCTCTTTCACCTACACCTATCTACGCAATGCAGCATCCTTTCAACTACAGGTGGCACAGGTACAGATGAGGACGTCAAAGTCAGCCAGAATTGGAAAGACAGCAAGACAGGTATTCACTAACCTGAAACCAGTGTAGAGATCTTCTGCAATCCACTCAGCATAAAGCATGAACAACATCCAGATTTTCAACACGAATGCCAGTCAAGTCAGTGCTTCTATGTGATGCTTGAGAGACTTGGTGTGTCACGAAAAGCATTTCCAACAAGTTACATATATTCATCAATAACTGCCTACGTTGGCTCCTTACTGAAGCTCAGATGGCCAGAACAGTAAGAATAAGCAAGAAGGAACTCTGTCGGGCTGACTGGCTGGTTGGCTGGCAACGAACCAACGAAGCAAGAACCCATCGCCTAACAAATATACAGAAGGGAGTGTAGATGGATTGGGCATGCACTGAGAAAACCATTGGGGGACATCACGTGTCGGGTCAGGCACTCGAGTGGAACCCAGATGGGAAACGATGAGTTGGGCATCCAAGATGAGGGTGACATGGAAGATATGGTGTGAGGAAGAAATGAGAGGTTGTGGGGTGTCTTGGAGCCAGGTTGAAAAGATTGTAGAGAAGAGAGTGGACTGAAGACGTGCTAGTGAATCCGTATGTTCCACTAGGAACCCAAGGGACAAATAATAATAATCTTTTTAGAACCTCTTTCAATTGATTTTAATTGAATTTTGACATGATAGTGGTATTCTAACTGAAATCAATTTTTTTATACACTTTGTGAGTAGTTATCGATAAACGTTCTTATAAATTTTCATACTTTTCTTCATCTGTAAGGTGACGTTCACTTATTTTATCATGTTCATTTCATCTGGCTTTTAGAAATCAGTCTGTACTCGATATTCTTGTCCATTCTTTTCACAGGAGTTTGTTCAATTAATAATTTTGTGATACCCTATGGTTTAAATACTGAAGAAGTATAAGCCCTTTGAGGATTTCTTGAAATTTCCTCTGATATATGTTTTATATTTGTTAGTACTGCCATCTTCTTGATGTTATCTTTTATGAATTGTTCTGACTAAAGTTTCTTGAATAAAACATTCATCTTTTTTCCTCGGTCGTTAGGTATGCCCAAGACAATATATTAACCCTCATTTAACTGTGATTGAATGGAATAGCAGTACAAAACAACTGACTATGATTTCATTCTTTTTCCAGAGGTGGGGGATAGTAGTAAGATAGCATTCACCACGCTCCGTCATCATATGATGAAACATTGAAAACCTAGAAGCCCTGAACAGTTGTGTTCATCCTAGTGTGGGATTTCCCAGAAATGAGTTTCTACAACTTCGCTGGGGACTGAACATGTTACAGCTGAGTTATTCAGGTTGCTATTGATCTCCTGTAGAACTGAATTACATACATTGAATGGTCACTGGAGGGTAACCAACTTCTTTTTATCAAGTCCTGAGTTCTTATCGAATTAAGTGGATCATTTCGTAATGTGGCCATCAGACCAGGAGATTCCCCATGAAGATGAAGGCAGTCGGTTTCATACAGTACTGAGTAACGTGTGCCTAAATTTCAGGCGAGAAATCAGTTTTGTTGATGTTTCAGATGCATCTTGATGACAAGACCAAAAAAGGACGCAGCCTAAGTTAAAGAGACCTTCCTTACGATTTTCTTCATTCAGATAAGTGACCGAATTTTTGCGTATTAAGTGAACACTAAATGCAAGCAATAGGAATGATTTAGCACATGTTTCAGATATATGGGAAATTCTACCACTCTAATCATTAAAAGTCGACAGTCCTCACGTTTAGAGGAAAACTTTACAGACAAACTAATGGAGTAGCTATGGGTTCTCCGGTGTCCCCTATCATTGCAAAACCTATTCATGTCCTATATTGAATCAATCATCTTTTCTAGCGCCATGAAATCACGTATTTGACTCAGATATGTGGATAATACATTCATAACTTTAAGATCTGGCCTCAGACCTATTTGGAAATTAATTAATCACTACTCATTCTCAACACATTATACTCACATTTGAACATGAAAGTGGAAGTGGTGAACTACCATTTCTAAACTTTTTAGTTAAAAGGAAGGGAAAGGGAAATCTAAATTTATCGATTTGTCGTGAATCAACGCATTCAGATGTGATATCTTGATTTCAACTCAACACATCTACTCAGTGCTAAACTTTCCCTTGCTCGGAATTTATCCAGGAGAGCCATAAAGCTCATCACAAATGACGATGACAGGCAAATAGAAGTAAGTAATATACTAGGTGTATAACATTCCAATAACTACTCTAATAATGTCATTCGAAAGATCTAGAAACATGAGCAGAGGGACCCAAGAGGAAATTCAAATGGCTGTTCTTGGATTAGTGCAGAAGTTCTGTCATTCCACCAACGTACAACTGAAGAGCTACAAAGAATTTTAAGAAAGCCCCGAATTAGAGCCTTCTACAAGACAACTAACACTCTCAGGAATGCTCTAGTCCACTCCAAAGATGAAATTCCTTTTATCTCCACATAGAATTGTGTCAACAAATTAGACTATGTCGATTGTGATGCCTATTACATTGGGGAATCATCCCATGAGATCCTCGTTAGGACCAAAGAACATGAAAGTTACACAAAATGACCGGCAAACAATCCTTTAGAACTAGAGAACCTACAAACCAAGTCGGTGATCGCTGTCCACGCCATTTATCACAGTCACAAAGTAGATAATGAAAATATTCAAACTATTCAAAAGGGTTTTTAAACTACAAATAAAGAAGAATAGCAGAGGCATTTCACATTATGTTGAATCCTAATGGACTCAACAGAAAGGGAGGCCTAACTATCCAACCAACCTGGACAGTACTTCTTAAAATAACACCACATACAGTGATCAGAACAAAAGTGTATAAACACAAACAAACCGAATTTGTCATCCATAGTATTGTTCTTACACTTTCACATGTGCACACATTCACATCTCCACCTAGAACTCTAGATACTGGGTGATGATTAAAGGTGAAATAAATACATGGACCTCGACTGGACTCCAACCAGTGACCACCAAGTTTCCGACCAACTGCGCTGAGAGGTCCTGGACCCAGTATAAATACTAGTCTGCCAAACTACGGCTATCTCACATAGTCAAATGTTTAATTATAAAAGATAACGAAGACAACTTTGAACACTTTCTTACCAATATAACAACCCATGAACATAATGTTCATACTATTACCATATATGAACACCAATGTCAAGTCAGTGCTGCTATATGGTTCAGAAACTTAGAGCATCACGAAAAGCATTTCCAACAAACTACAGACATTTATCAACAGCTGAGACCTATGCTCGATACTGAAGATCAGATAGCCAGAAAGAATAAGCAACAAGAAACTCTGGTTGGGAATGAACCAACCAAGAACCCATCACCCAACAAATATGTAGAAGAAGAAACTGGAAATAGGTTGGATTGGGCATACACTGAGAAGACCATTCGGGGACATTACACACCAGACCATCTAGTGTAATCAAAATGGGAAACGACGAGTTGGGCATCCGAGGCAAGAGTGACATGTAGGAGATGATGTGAGGAAGAAATGAGAACTTGTGGGCTGTCGTGGAGTCAGGTTGAAAAGACTGGAGAGAAGACAGTGGAATGGAGACGTGCTACTGAAGCCGTATGTTCCACTAGGAACCCGAGAGGAAAATAAATAATAATGAACAAAATGATCTGATTTGCCGCCTTTTACTATTTAAACAATCAAAGACTTGTACAGGTTTTATTCTCTCAAGAAGCGATTTCCATGAAGTCAAGAAATGTTAGAAATTTATTTTATTACTTCACTGAGATTTCACAAATATGTTTCGTTTATAATCCATTTATCCAATGCTCAATTTATTCATCTCTATCAGGTGAAATTTTGATCCTGAAGTTTATAAAACTATATTAACTATTTGTATTGATTGATCGCGGGAGTGCAACCAATTTCATGTTGTCCAATCCAGAATGCAGACCGAATTCTATCTATCATATTTGCGATGTGGCAACCAAGCTAAGAAGCTCAGCATCGCGGTACATATTAGTAGATGTTAGTTGGTTGGAGACAATCGTCAGGAAGCCCTGTTTGACCTAGGTTTCATGCTTTCTGGCACTCGTCAGCATGGCGTATCTGCAACCTCTACGGAACTGATATCCCGTCGCTGACTACAACACTGGGTGACGTGGGTTGGAATCTCAGGCGGGACATCAGTTCCGTTGAGGTTGCAGATACACCTTGCTGACGAGTGCCAAGAAGCACGAAGCCTAGTTCCAGGGCTTCCTACCGATTGCCTTCAACCAACTAACATATATTAACTATGTTACAAAAGTGTGGATTTACTTGATACTAACTATTATGGACAGAAGATTTCGTTCGAAACTTTATACGGTGAATAATACCGTCTCACTGTGTGATAGATCAAATAAACAGATTAAAATGGGATTACAAATGATTTAAGTGCCCATGTTTTACTACCGTACACTTATACTTTCATCAAATTGTCTATTTTGATGCAGAAATAACTTACTCCATGTTGGTGTAAATAAAAACTTGATTCCAACGTCTGCATAAGTTCTTGTCAATGACCAACCAAATGTAAAAACTACAATCGATAATAGAAATGGAACAAGTATGTTATTGGCTTTCTCAATCCATTTGATGCCACCATATATACACGTAGCTGCTATACAAACACTCATACATTGTGTTAGAACAGGCCAGTATGAATTCTATAAAAATATTCAATACAAATAATATTATATTAATAGGAATCTGAAAGTCAATATTTCATGTACTTTCTATTCACTGACTGACTCCAAGAGTAGATTAAACGATTTTCATAAACTGATCATAACTTTACGAACTGAATATAAGTCTTAATATGAACATATGAAAAGATGTACCACCTTCCTAAATGTCCTGTTAACATTGAGACAGAGGATAGTTTTACACACGCATTATATGTTCTCAATAAATAAATGTTTTCAAAATGATCAACTGATGTAATGTCTACGAAACATGCCCATTGAGTCATAGAGAAGAGATAATTCAGTGGAGAAAATTTTCTTTTCCTACGATATCATTTTCTAAAGCTGTACAATTGTAGAGAATATTTGTAGATCAGTTGAATGGTCTTGGTTGTATTGTTCTCGACAGTTGTGCACAGCCGAGGCACTGACAATTCATCAATTCAAGCCTGATCTCTATCATCTTACCGTGGTCTTAACACTTTCACAATTTTTCGATTCCATTATAATTAATTAGTTTACTGTTATTATCACCTTCATTATGACCCTTGTCTCATTCTCCACCTTCTTTACATTTATCTATCTATCTATCAAATGGACGCTCAATATTTGCGTTTCTTATCTACCAACAATTTTCACCTTGTCAAACTCCTCGCCTTCCTCTATATTTCTACTGTCTTAGTTTATTACGCAACTACTTTGCATTCTTGATTCTGGTTTTTTAACACCAGGTTAATGATGTAAGTATACCCTATTGTTTTATAATAGACTGTCATATGTTTATGTTATGTATAAATAAATACGATTGTACAACTTTAGAAAATGATATCGTCGAAAAAGAAAATTTTCTTCTCTAAATTATCTCTTCTCTATGACGTGATGTTCTATAATTTACACTATTCCTTTAATGACACCACAAGCAAAACCGGTTAGTACATTTAAACTCTGTATATTCTTCACTGGTCACTTTTATACCTTCAGTTACATAACTCAACAACCTTTTGTACATTTTTACAGTTAGCAATGAGTCACACCTATTGTGTGAGAGTAACTGATACGTACTAGCTTACCAAATGTTTGAACCTGTGACCCACTGATAATTTGGTTGGTTGTGGCTAGCAGAAGAATTCAGGATGCGCGTTTCTTCCTATTTGGGACTCGTCAGTTGGATGTACCTTCAACCCAGTGATGTTGTCTCCACTGAGACTCAAACCTCGTACCCATCGCTTCAAACGCCAAGGCGTTATCCATTATGTCACAGAGGAACGATAGCCACTTCTTGTATAATGGATGATAGTTATTAGTATCTATTAATATACTTGTTATTCTCCGTTTTTTTTATTGGATCGAATTGTTCTACCTCTATTGGCATATGGGCTCCTATGCGGATGCCTCGATATTACCTAAATGTTAATTATAATAATTTGGTTGGTTGTTGCTAGCAGAGGAATCTAGGATGCGCATTTCGTCCTATTTGGGACTCACTTTTCAGCTGTATATATCTGCACTCCAGTGAGTGATGTTGTTCCCACTGAGACTCGAACCTTGTACCCATCACTCCAACAAAACAACGGAGAATAACAAGTAAGTCAATAAATAGTAATAACTGTGACCCATTGGTTGAAAGAAAACGACGTAAGACAACTAGCGACAATTCTATAGTCATATAAATGACTAAACTGCAGTACTATGTAATACACTTTCCAACTGATCTTGACTGGACGGAAAACTATGCAGGTGAGTAGAAGTAAATTGAAAAAGCTTGATCTTTTTAGCTATCAGACTATCTGTAGCTGCTATAACTTAGCGAAAAAGATTGTATTTAGTTCACTAATTCATTGCTCAAAATTTGAGAAAAAATAAGTATGCATGTCAATTGAGTGCATAGCGACAGTTTACCTCCAAGAGTTGAGAAGTACGCGTAAAACTCATGTAACTTTTGAGTGTTCAGCATTTGAATTTTGAGGGAGTTGTGGAAATTTAGAAATACAACAAGTTGGTACTGATCGTAGACTGACATTAGTTGGAAGAACAATCGAAATCTGGGAGCAGTGGACAGCCGTTTCGTCCTAGTACGGGACTCCTCAGCAGTGCGCACCCACGACCCCCCCTTTCCAGGGATCAAACTCACGACCTTCAGGTTCCGTGGCCAGCACGTTATCATTGAGCCATTTGGTCAGAATCTAATGCTCCATACCTCCAACTTCTGTTAGCTGACGATATAGAGCAACCGCCATCCGATGTTGAGTAACTGTCGTCACGACCATCAGGCTTTGCCCCCACCGGTCATAACTTCTCATTGGGACTTCGAGAATAACTCTCGAAGCTAGTCACCAATGAGCACCAGTTCAGCACTTATACTTAAAAGATTTTATCTTCTGTGTACTCTAAGTTTGTCAGGGAGTTAATTGTCTGTAGTAAAATTAGTTGAAAAAAGCATAACTTTACGCTACTGTTTGTAATTGCCCATCGTTGGATGGACCGAGCTAACCAGTCTGTATTGGCATTTTGGCATTTTCATTTTAATAGGAATAACACGAAAACTAAATCTATCAACACAAGGAGTAGCTTTCGTGACTTAGATGCCTGGTGTATAACGCTATTGCGTTCAAATCGACCTTTCCTAGATTTCAGTGATAATAAGAACAATATAACTTACTGGAGTGTAGATACATTCAGCTGATGAGTTCAAAATAAGACGAAACGCACATTCCAGATCCCACTTCTAGTCACTACCCATCATTAAATTTGAATGAAAATAAACACTTGTGATCGATAAATTCTTAAAACAACTACTTCAGAAAATGTCTTGATATCATCGGTAAAATGACAGGTCTGGTATTATTATATAACCTCTGAATCAACATATGATGCCAGTTTTAAACATATAACTTCTATTTAATGTTTTTAAGCTTGTCTGAGATATTTTAGGCGTAAGAAGAAGATAATTAATGTTCATGCATAAAAAGCCAGACTTATAAAACTCCTAGTTCTCATGAATTTTTTCGTTAAGTAATGAAGAACCTTTCGTCATATAATGTCTAACGAACAGGCTATTTTTAAAGGAGTTATGATATTCAACTTCTGAATACAGTTAGGTTGACATTGATAAACGTTAGGTCGTTAAAAGTTAAGCTTCCCGCGAGCAAACTATCTTCACCCTACACTCTAAGGGATACAGAAAGTGAACATTGAATACGTGAAGTAGAAATTACGAAGTGAGGTTTTAGGAAATTACTATACGATTTTATAAAGCAGTATTCAATGTAAAATACTTTACTGAATGTAGTTTTATTAAAAATTGAATAATTTGAAGAATAGTTTAAGGAAGTCACTTCAAAAAGTAATGATAACTTACCATAGTAAAGTCATTGAATCGTTTCTTACTTTCTGATTCACTTTTAGGCAAACCAATGAAACATGACATATAGGAGTAATATAAACACCAGCCGATAATCACAGGATAATAACAGCTTTAAAAAAAAACATTAGAAGATTTTTACAAGATTAATTAATGTTATTTAAAACGTCTAAATCGAATTTATTCTAAATACAAAGTGAAAAGTTAATGAAAGTATAACGGACTATAGGATACGTGTTCAGATCATTGGTTACCAAAGTTTCAGAAACTCATATTTTACGTAATGTCTACAAACAAGTTTATCCCCTTGAACAAAAAGGTATAGCTGTCCAAGTAATAAACTTTAAAATAAGCGTATATAAATAAGCTGTAAATGTACTGCTTTGCCGAATTATGACCACTGTATTTTACGTGTTTTGCCTTAAGTTTATAGTAAATTACACGAAAAGGCTTTTGGATATCTTTATAAGAAAGTTTAGGACTGTATATCAAGTTTGAGAAACATGCTTAAGGAACCAGACTGAGATACATTTTTTGATGAAGGTTTAGACAATACTATCAATAATACCACAAGCTATCTCAGACCCCGTCTTGATATTTGTTGCCCTGCTGAAACAATCTCCATGAAGTTTCATAGACTTTCCTCTCCTCATCTTAAGAAACTTCGAAAGGGAAGAAGAAAGGTTGTATAAGGTTAGAAACCACCCTGGTGTTAAAAGACTTAACTGACTAATTAAGTATAAAACACAAAGTTTAAATACTATGTACAAATAGAAGCTTCCATTGTACAAGAGCTATTCCAATACGTGGAAATGATTCAAAGAGCTTACAGGTAGAAAACCGATAACAAAACAAGCTTGTTCTGATGTCTGCACGTTAAACTACTCATTTATACATAGACAAGCTGATTTCATTCTTCTTAGTGTTTGTAGTCAAATGGATAGTTACTTTCCTGCTTTTAATACAAGTGACCCATTTTAATGTATTAAATCCTTGAATCCATCTCAAAGCCTAGGTCCCGGTGATGTTTCCAGTATTATATTTCGAAAATCTGCATATATTTTATGCCATCCCCTTGCAGATATATTCAGTGCATCGTTTACTAAAAACACACTACCCACTGCTTGGAAGGAGATCAAAGTTGTACCTGTGACAATGTCATCTTCTGGATTAGATGTTACATTTCAATCCATGACTATAACTTCCCCTTTTTTAAAGACAGTAGAGAAATTACTTCTGCTTGCTCTTGAAACTTCATTGAAGGCTTTCAGAGATCCAAAACAATTCGTTTACAAACACAGGAGGAGTACTTTAGATGATGTCACTGGTTCGCATCATAATATTGCTTCTAGTCTAAACAAAGGTGTTAAGTATGTTTGTTGTGACTTCTTGGATTACTCATCAGCCATTGACTCTGTTCCTAGGCCATTCTTGTTAAGTAAGCTTTTCATAGATAACACTGACACATGCTTTACAAAGTGGCTGTATCCTTATTTTTCTGAAAGGAAACAGTATACTGTCTATTAAGAGAAGAGCTCTACTTCACTGCTTACTGAAGCCTGTGTGCCTCAAGGTGCAGTACTTTCTACCTTTCTGTTCAGTTTCAGTGTCAGTTAACTCTCACCTGTATTGCTCTGAATCAAATGGTTTCCTGTCTAAAACTGACCACTGCTCTTTCTCAAGCGGTCTCAAGCTAAAACCCTTTTAAATATCAGACTGTTAATTTTAGCCTCAGGCGTAAATAAGACTTCTGTGAGCTACTAAAGTGTCATGACACCGGTTGCACTGGTCGTATTGCTGTAGGAATCAAATCGAATGTTAACTATCTTGGATTGAGTTTTACTTCTAATCTTTGTTGGTCGTCTTATATCTTGTTGACTTTCAAGAAAACCTTTCGTTTAACGCATTACTCAACCTCTATTTTAACAACTTATTAATTCCTGCATTTCGCCTATTCTTCTCTATTGTTCCCAATTGATCTTTTCTGGTAGAACAAAAAAGAACTATGTTATTATTACGTTGGCCTTTGAAACCCGTCAGTAGGGTTAGCTCTGTGCCTGTGGCTCAACTGATTAACAATGTAGTTGATAGACACTTAAATTCTAGCAAGCAATTAACTAGCTATAGTCATTTTAACTGACCCTAAGCACCCACTCCATTCACAATTTTCTCCCTGTATGTCCTTGGAGGGGACACAAAGAAATTATATCAGACTGTACGCTCGTACAGCTAAATACAAGAATTCAGTTGTCTTACCTAGCACGGATATTGTGTTGGAAAAAAAGTGTTAGAACAGAACTTACTTATCAACTACGTAACCATGAATAATCTGTTTCCAATCATTTAATTAACAATGTAAGATCTCGTTTTTAATATTCATCCTATTAATTAAATTTTTATGATAAAAAAATTAGAAATGTAAAAGAGTATGTATATGCTTGTCTTTTGTTGAATTTTGAGGTTGTGGGGATTTAGAAATATTTTAAGTTTGTATTCATCGTAGACTGACATCAGCTGGAGGAACAAATGAAACCTGGGAGCACTAGATAACTGTTTCGTCCTAGTCTGGGACTCCTCAGCGGTGCGCACCCACGACCCCACCCTTCCAGGGATCGAACCCGCGACCTTCAGGTTCCATGGCCACCACGTTACCACTCAGCCACTGGGTCGGAATCCAATGTTCCATATTTCCAACTTCTGTCAGTTCACGACATAGCTCGACCACCACCCAATTTAATCTTTGAGTAACTGTCCTCATGGCCATCAGACAAGCCCCAGCGGCCCAACGGTAACGTAGTGGCCATGGAACCTGAAGGTCACGGTTTCGATCCCTTGAGGGCGGGGTCGTGGGTGGGCACTGCTGAGGAGTCCCAGGCTAGGACGAAACAGTTGTCTAGTGCTCCCAGTTTTCATTTGTTCCTCCAACTGATGTCAGTCTACGATGAATACCAACTTGATATTATATTTTGTTGTTGTTACAATATATCATGCTGAGAATTCCAAATTGTACCAAAAATTACTTTGAATAAGGTGAATTGCTATTATTACTACTAAAGATAATAGCAGCGAAGAAAACTTTCATTTTGAAAAAACTCATTGTCTTGAATTTACATTTATGAAAACATTGTCAAAAGGATTAGAGTTTAAAGAATAATCTATAGTCAAGGATCAAAATACACAGAGAGTTAGGAGAGAAAAATAAACGAAGGATTAGGAAATTGAGCATAATTGCATCATTAGTGAATTAGGTGAAGTGACCAATCCTTTACGGTGACTACGATTAAAGAAAGCGGTGTCACATGCTTGTTTGGAGAGATACGCTGATGGCTTGAACTTTGAACTTCTAACGCTTTATCTATACGAAGATATCTTGATCTTGTTCATTTTTCAAAACGGACAATATCCAAACTTTCCTTAGAGGTACTGCTATAAAATTAGGGATTTACGTTCACTGTTTCTTTATCATACAGGTTGGATAGTTTCCACAATCATGTTTCGCAGGCTGATGCACAGTTTGAGCAATTTGTACAGCTCTGCAGAAGAGGGTAAACTGATTTACAACTACTAATTTGGTCTTATATTCCAGCTTGTCCTAAACATATTGCCATGGAAATTTCGATCAGGCGGCAAATTGATATTGTGTTCATAGATATTGACAACTTTTTTCTAAGAACGTCTATGGCATTGTTTACCATGAACTTTGGATTCGACAGAAAAACATTTTCAAAGCAACGTGCATAACTGCCATGAAGTCTTTCTGATTAAAGTTAGTAGTTATTACTTGTTAGTATACATCTAATTCTCCACTGTTGCGATATGAGCCCCTATGAGGACGTCTCGATATCGTCTAAATGTCTGTCGCAATAATTTAGCTGGTTGTGGCTAACAGTGGAATCCAGAACACGCATTTCGTCCCACTCCGAACTCGTCAGCTGCATACACCTCCACTCCAGTGAGTGATGTTCCCACTGACGCTAAACTGCTGGACAGATCGTTTCAAATTTCAGAAAGTTATCCACCAGGTCACTGAGTTACAAAACAACTAAATTAGTAGTTTTGGTGGGAATCAACTTTCCATTGAGGAAACTTTTCATAGGTTCTTGGTTTCATCGCTTACGGTGTCCTCTGTATACATAGTTCATGATTCTTGATGACAGTGAATCGGTAGGACTATTTGAAAACCAATTAATTGTAGTTGACAGGGTGAGGTTTTTCAGACTTACAACAAACCAGTCAATTTTAAGGGATACCATCGGCAACTCAGTTGATACGTCATCTATCCAGCTGTATGTTTTGTGCTTAAGTCTGAAGTGTATATTTAAAGTACACCTAAGAAGAAGCTCCTTTACGTAGCAAGTTATGGAGACAAGTGGTTTGCAGTAGTGGAACCTCTTTAAAGAAATATGTTAGAGGCCAATTCAATGAAGATATATACACGGAACTACTGTCGTGCAAATTTGGAGTCATTACCCGTACACACCTTTTCACTGTTATTTTATATTATATAAGCCAAGTTATGTGAGGTTAGTAAGCTAACATGTGAAATTTCAAAGTTTTCATCTTAGATGTTCAAATTTAAAAGTACCTCTTCTAATTCCCTCATTTACGTAGCCAAACAACATCATATCACGTCAATGCAGAGGATTCATTTAATCCACAGAGTGCTAAAACTCTTACCACTGCAATCGATGCGTATCTTTGCCATTTGGGTCTCACTGTTGCGTAGAACATTTATTGTAAGGTAGTATTCATCATGGATTGATGTCAGTTAAGGAACGATTCAAAATCTATAAGCACTGGACAGCTGTTTCGGCCTAGTGTGGGACTCATCAGGAATGCAAGCCCATGACACAACCAGGAACTGGTCAGCAAGTTACCCTTCAGTGTTACCTTTATCCGAGGACATTGTTGAGTGTTTGTACTCACACCCGACTTCAATGGATTACCACTGAACCGTAAGGATATCCTTCTTTAAGCAGGCCACTGATGATCATCAAGTAGTAATTCCATATAGAAGGTTGTAGAGGTTGGGTGGATTAAAAATAATATTATCACAGGCTAACATTAGTTGGAGAACAAATAAAAACCTTAGAGTAATGGATATCTGACTAG